AAAAATAAGTGGGGAGCCTGGGAGCTTAAGAATGCTGTTGGCAGGAGACATTTCTCTACAATACCTGGATGTTCTTTTGATTAAGCAGTCCACCACTAATTTTTCCTGTCCCTACTTTTAAGTTCAGCACTTTACGCCTGGCCCTTTTATGTTCTACAGGGTGAGGCAGCATAACTTCCTTTTTAAAAATGCACACCATTCAGTTGGTTGAAGACGTAGCGGAGCGCTAGTGGTCTCGTACAAGAGGCGGGAGTATAAAGTTTTTGTCCTGACACTGATGCCATCATGTGATGGAACAGCAAGGTGCGTGCTTTTGCCGTTGAGGCCTACTTTTCAAGTGGATTTGGAGTGGCCGGCCCGCTCTCCAGATTTGGCCCCTTGTGATTCTTTTCTATGGGTTTTTTTGAAATCCCGTGTTTATGTGAACCGTCCAAGGACCCGACAAGATTGGAAGACCAGCATCCAGGAAGAAATTGCCAACAGAACGCCTGCTATGCTGGCAAGAGTAATGACAAGCACCAGAAATTGGTTTACTCAGAGAATGGGGGACGTCACCAACCTAATTTGATCTTCAAAACTACGTAAAACAAAACTTTAGCTATGCGCCTACATTATAAAATAATAAAAATAAAATTCTGATTTTATTAAGTTTTGAAAAAAGGAAGTTATGTTGCCTCACCCTGTACCTCAATACTTTTGATGACAGAAAACTTGATTGTTGCACTTTCCTGAAAACATGATTGTTGCCTGCTTGATTGTTGCACTTTCCTTGTGCTCCTGTCAGAATGTATTGCACTTAGTGAGTCTGTACCTTAGCTATGTTCTTTTTCTCAGCAATATTGTGTTTGTTTTTGTATTTTTATCAGATGTTTTTAATTGGTTTGTTTTATTTGTAATTTTGGGCTTCTCCCTTGTAAGCCGCCCGAGTCCCCTAGGGGAGATGCTTGTCAGGGTATAAAAATAAAGTTATTATTATTATTATACGTAGTAGTAGTAGTATACTTAATTATGTCACTTTCAAGGTTACTTGAATCCTTTGTGTCTCTCTGGATGTTTGTGATGGGGAATATGCTCTTTGCTACATTGGCACAAATTCAGAAACTAATACAGTCAATCCTCTACATTTCCTGGGATTAGGTTCAAAACACATAGTCCCCATTAAAGACCAGGGACCCAAATCCAAGGAGGGAGTTTCAAAGAGGGCCATGGGGTAAGGAGAGAGTGGCAAGCTTCCAAGGGAAGGAACTGTGGGGCAACCTGGAAAAGGGACAGATCTCACACTCACTGATGTCTTTCCTCTCTTTCACAGGCAGAAAAACACGGTCAAGTGGTGGTCGTTTAACTACTCATTATTATTTCCTAAGAAGACCTTGTGCAGGACCAGATCAGGTAGGCAGCAGGATCCTTAGAGGGGAGGGGAAGCCAAGTCTCTTTCTCTATTGGACATTGCTCTGCCTCTAAATCAGTGGTTCTCAACCTGTGTTTCCCCAAGTGTTTTGGCCTTCGACTCCCAGAAATCCCAGCCAGTTTACCAGCTGTTAGGACTTCTGGGAGTTGAAGGTCAAAACATCTGGGGACGCACAGGTTGAGAACCAGTGCTCTAAATGAACCTCTTTTTTCTGTATTCCTTCCATCCAAGATGTTTTCAATAACTTTAAAGCATAGGTTCTTTTCATTGCAATTTCCAGTGTGATAAGGTATCAGGACTTTTATACTTTTACACAAAGAATGACATTGGACATATAGAGATACAGATTCTATGTAACTACATTGGATTCACATACAACTTAGAGTTACATTGGCTAACAAACAAACAAAGGAGAATTACATATTTACTCTGCATTCCTACACATGTACATGTATTCATCCTCATGCATACATCCAAATATTGCCATAGCCTTTGCTCCCTCCTTGAAGAAGCAACTGTTAAACCAGATCCTGCTTCCCTTGCAGCCTGCTTCTGTTGTACCTTAACCTTAACCAAAACTTTCAAAAGGCTCCTAAAACACCAAAACCTCTCTTTCCCTAAGAAGAATGCCAAGGATCAAATCTGTGTTTTCCATACAGCAAAACCTGACTCCCTTCAAAGTATCACAACTCCAAAACGCACCCCTTCCTCTTCCCTCGAGAAAGAAGCCCCAAAGTGTACAGAATCCTGCTTTCCTATAGCATATCTGACATTCTCTGAATACACCATCTCTCTCTTTCCCAATGGAGCAGAGCATAGCAGGTGAACAGCGCCTCTGTCTGTCACAATTTGAGAATCATTAGAGTCTTTTATAGGAATATTTTGCTGATGTAGTCCTAAAGTTGTAAATTAATGATAGATGTCTTCCATTCAGGACAGATGTTGATTCTTCTTGGTTGGTGTTAACGAACAAGCAGTGTGGTCACTTCCTTTTTAACATTGTAAACATTTCTCTTATCACTGTCCCAGTTCTTATCACAGTTTAATTTATCAGTTCTCATTAGCAACTTTTAATCACAGTCCAGCAAGCAGGTAGTTGGTCATTGCAGGCCTTAATCTTTTAGAATGGTGTCTGCAAAATTATTAGCTTTGATTCATTCATTAAAACCACATTTACCAAATCTGCATATTAAATTTCTTGTGACATCCTTCTGGTTCGTCTCACTGGGATGGGACTGGGAGGCACTGATTTACATGGTCCTTTCTGGAGGGCTGTACCCAGAACGGGTTCTAAAGGACTCCTGTTTGAACCCCTGGTCGTTGTCCTGTGGGGTTCCTCAGGTTTCCCTTCTGTCCCCATGTTGTTTAACATCTACATGAAACTGTTAGGAGAGGTCATCCGGAGTTTTGGAGTTCAGTGCCACCTATATGCAGATGACACCCACCTCCATTACTTCTTTCCACCTAAAGCCAGGGAAGCTGTCCTGACCCTAAACCAGTTCCTGTCATCAGTAATGGACTGGATGAGGGCAAACAAATTGAAACTTAATCCAGACAAGACAGAGGTACTCCTGGTCAGTCGGAAGGCAGATTAGGGAATAGGGATCCAGCCTGTGCTGAATGGGGTCACACTCCCCCAGAAGACACAGATTCACAGTTTGCGGGTAGACAACAAAGCCTAGAGAAGACAATGATGCTTGGGAAAATGGAAAAAGAAAGAGGGGCCAAGCAAGGGCAAGATGGATGGATGGTATCCTTGACGTGACTGGCTTGACTCTGAAGGAACTGGGGGTGGTGATGGCCAACAGGGAGCTCTGACGTGGACTGGTCCAGGAGGTCATGAAGAGTTGGAGCCGACTGAATGAATAAACAACAACAACCTGGAGTCAGTGCTGAACCTGGAGACCCGGGTATCGTCAGTGGCCAGGAGGGCTTTTGCACAATGAAAACTGGGTGAGCCAACTGTGCCTGTTCCTTGAGAAGCCAGATCTGGCCACAGTGGTCCATGCCTTAGTTACATCCCGTCTGGATAACTGTAACATGCTCTACATGGGGCTGCCTCCGAAGAGTGCTTGGAAACTTCAGCTGGTCCAAAGAGCTGCAACCAGGTTGCTCACTGGGGCTGGAGACATAGAGCGGACAACCTCCCTCTTGAAGCCGCTCCACTGGCTGCCAGTCTGTTTCCAGGCACAATTCAAAGTGCTGGCTATGACCTTTAAAGCCCTAGATGGTTGAGGTCCAGACTACTTGGCCGACCGCATCCCCTTGTACAAACCTGCCTGGGCCTTGAGATCGGTAGAAGACCTTTCTTCTCTCAGTCCCATCTCTGTCTCAAACCCAGTTGGTGGGAATGAGAGAGTGGGTCTTTCTTCTTGGTGGCTGCCCCACAGCTATGAAACTCCCTGCCCAGGGAAGCCAGGTTGGCCCCCTCCCTACTGTCCTTCTGGTGGCAGGCAAAAAATTCATGCAAGCTTTGAAAGAAGAAGGTTTTTAAGATTGTCAGGGGCTGCTGTCAATTTATATATTTTTATAGAGCCCCCGGTGGCGCAGTGGGTTACACCCTTGTCCTGGCAGAACTGAAGACTGACAGGTCAGAGGTTCAAATCCAAGGAGAGCACAGATGAGCTCCCTCTGTCAGCTCTGGCTCCTCATTCATAGAATCATAGAGTTGGAAGAGATCTCATGGGCCATCCAGTCCAAACCCATTCTGCCAAGAAGCAGGAATATTGCATTCAAAGCGCCCCTGACCAGGCCCGTAGCCAGGATTTCGTTTCGGGGGGGGGCGGGGGCTAAAAAATTCAGGGGGGTTTCGGGGGGGGGGGCTGAGTCTGAATGAAAGAGGGTCTAGCCTAGCAAACCTTTTGTATCATTACCCCAATACCCCCATGCATATGGGATATATTGAGTATGGTGATCAGATCATGATATGAATAAACATAACAGTTTAAATAATGCACCAGTAAGGCCTTTTCGTGAACCACCATGAGAATTGGGGGGGGGGGGCTGAAGCCCCCCAGTCCCCCCCCTGCATTCAAATCACCCCCGACAGATGGCCATCCAGCCTCTGTTTAAAAGCTTCAAAGAAGGAGCCTCCACCACACTTGGCAGAGAGTTCCACTGCTGAATGGCTCACACAGTCAGGAAGTTCTTCCTCATGTTCAGATGGAATTTGCTTTGTAGTTTGAAGCTATTGTTCCACGTCCTAGTCTCCAGGGAAGCAGAAAACAAGCTTGCTCCCTCCTCCCTGTGACTTTCTCTCATATTTATACATGGCTATCATATCTCCTCTCAGCCTTCTCTTCTTCAGGCTAAACATGCCAGCTCCTTAAGCCATTCCTCATAGGGCTTGTTCTCCAGACCCTTGTGTGTGTGTGTGTGTATAATGGTTTTAACCTGAATTATTTTTATTATTAATGAGTTTTAATACTGTCTTAATATTTGTATATTAGCATATATTAAGTTGTATTATAATGTTTTTTTTATTGTGAGCTGCTTTGAGTCTCCCTATGGAGAGAAAGAGCAGGATATAAATAAACATAATAAAGAAAGAAAAAAGTATTTCCTCCTCACAGATAACGTTTTTTCCCTTCAGGTGACTTTTGAAGACGTGTCTGTGGATTTCTCAGAGAAGGAGTGGGCCCTCTTGGATCCAAGGCAAAAAGCCCTGCACAAGCAAATCATGAAGGAGAATTTAGGGATCGTGTCATCTCTGGGTAAAGCTCCATTACGCTTGCAGTTAACAAGTTCTAAAAATCATCCAGTGTTTCAGATCCCTTCCTCTGAAGCCACAGTAAACAAGAAGAGAATTGGCACTCGGGTGGAATTGCCATATTATATGAATTCTAAGCACATGGTTATTTTCTATCCACCAGCCATGCTTGTAATGGTTGTGGTAGCAAGATAAGGGTTTCTCCTGAGTATCATAGTGCCTGGGTAGGTTTGAATAAGGAGATACAATCAGGCAAACAGCCTGGACTTGAGCCATATAGTTCTTTAAAGGTCATAACCAGCATCCAGTCCAACTCCCTTCACCAGGGCAAGAAAACGTAATCAAAGCCCTCCTGAGAAAGAGCCATCTAGCCATAGATATAGATAGATATATATAATTCACACAGAGAGAGAGATATAGTATCATAGATTTGAAAGTGACCCCTAAAGAAGGACTGAAAAGAAGCAGGAGATCTGAGGGATGATTTATTGTTGCCACCAATTGAAAGGAACCAGTATTCAGGAGATTTTACCCCAGTTCCCAATTTTAAAAAGACTTAGCCGATTTGCAATGGAGGTTGCCGATTAGGAACCAAATTTACCATCAAGTTAGAAGGGAGGCTGTTCAATTGCACCTCCTCCTTTATTAAGAAAGTAATAACTTAGTAGTAATTACACTGTATATACTGTAGCGTGACTGGAGAGAAGAATGTAGATTTATTTGGTTACTTTTCCCTACGTTTCTGCCACCACGTGAGGTAAGTTGTAATATTGTGAGAAATGGCACTTGGTACACAGAATAGACGGAGCTGAGGCAATCTTCAAATAAAAGTTAACAATTTTATTAAGTACACAGCGTGTGGTTGCAAGTCGTAACTTTTCCTTGTTGCACTTGGAATAATACTTTAACAGTTCATTCTTTCAAGTAACACAGTATCTTTCTGACGTAGAGCACTTGTTTCAGACAAAGTTTCCATACAGGGATGTTTCCCTTAATTGATCCTCCCTAGATCAAATACTAAGTAAACTATTCTTTAGCCTATCCTTAGACTAAAAGAATACCAGCTATGTTTCACTATTCGGCTGCACTAGCCTGAGAAACTTCCAATAGCCAAACCCAGCTTTTCAAAGCCTCAAAGTTTTGCTTCACAAGTCACTCCGCCACCTTTCCTTTCCTTCTCTCCCAACTCCTATCTCCTCACTCCTCTGAACCTAACTCCTGACAGCTCACTCCTCTAAACCTAAACCCTAATTGATTTTTTAACTGTCGTTTTTTCAAACTCTCCCCTCTAAGCTCCTCCCACTTCCCTCTCTCCTGCATTGGTCTCCATGGCAACGAACATGGAGGACTCCTCTGACTTAGGCTGCTCCAGCATTACTGCAGCCAATCTAAACACAAATACAGTTAAAATCATACAATTTATAATCAACTCCTGTACAAGGACAATTATATGTTGCATGTTCCAGAGTAGCCAAACCAGACAATTTCCACATCAACACTGACAAAGAAACAACAAGAAATACTGTTTACCCACAAACATAAAGAAATTATATATATTGGAAACCAACACTTTCTATTTACTTTATTTTCCAGATCACCAGACTGGGTCACAGCAACATGTGGCAGGGGACAGCTTGTTCATATATAGATTTTTCCATACACAAAAAAGTAGTACAATACCAGTCCACACTTGTGAAACCTCAGGTCTCTACTAATTCAGAAGTAGAGAAAATCAACAGTAGGGGGATTTAAAAAAATACTAAGGGGAGAAATATCATTTAATCAATAATATAAGGAGTGAAAACACAGAGAGAGAATGTCAAACTCCAATTCTATGCGTCTTCATTCAATCTTTTTTAAAATGGCAACTTTATTCTGGCTTCTAATCTGAATTTGGATATTTGTTCTGCTGCCTGATGACATGAAGTTAAGTTCACTTATCTTTGCGGCATCAGGGAAATCAAAGGTTTTTACCTTTCTTGTGCCAGAAGCACAAGGGATTCCAGAGAAACCAGGGCTGAAGAAAACAGTTCTACTTTCCCCAGCCCTGGTTGAGTTATGATTTACTTTGGGGCTTATATCTTGGTATAATATTTAGAGAAAAGATAAAAGATGTTTTTTTAACAGCCAGTGTTGGAAAGGGCTGTGGGAAAGAGCTGTCTCAACTACTGTAAATACATGTTGTAATTTGTATACTTTTTAACTTTAATCTAATATAAGCTTTTCTTTTCAACACATGGTTGTTCTCAAACCATGTAAATAGAGGAGACACAATTTAAATATTTAGAAGATGGAATGAATATCAATAAGAAGGAAGCACTCACCTTTTCTAAAGAAACTCACACAAAGGATAAACCATTTAAATGCTTGGAGTGTGGAAAGAACTTTTGTCAGAAGGCACACCTTGTTCGTCACCAGGCAATTCACACAGGAAAAAAGCCATTTAAATGTTTGGAATGTGGAAAAAGTTTCTCTCAGAAGATAGCCCTTGTTCATCATCAGGTAATTCACACAGGAGAGAAGCCATTTAAATGCTTGCAGTGTGAAAAGAGCTTTGGTCTAAAGAGAAACCTTAGTAGTCATGAGGCAACTCACACAGGAGTAAAGCTATTTAAATGCTTGGAGTGTGAAAAGACCTTCGGGCACAAGAAAACCCTTATTAGTCATCAGGCAATACACACAGGAGTAAAGCCATTTAAATGCTTGCAGTGTGGAAAGAGCTTCCGTCAGAGAGGAACACTTTATCGTCATCAGGCAACTCACACAGGGAAGAAGCCGTTTAAATGCTTGCAATGTGAAAAGAGCTTCAGTCGAAAGAGTAACCTTATTGATCATCAGGCAACACACACAGGAGAGAAGCCATTTAAATGCTTAGACTGTGGAAAGAGCTTCAGTCAAAAGAGAGGCCTTGGTTACCATCAGGCAATTCACACAGGAGTAACTCCATTTAAATGCTCAGAGTGTGGAAAGAGCTTCACTCAAAAGATAGGCCTTGTACGTCACCAGACAATTCACACAGGAGAAAGGCCATTTAAATGCTTGCTGTGTGAAAAGAGCTTCAGTCAAAAGAGAAACTTTACTTCTCATCAGGCAACTCACACAGGAGAGAGACTATTTAAATGCTCAATCTGTGGAAAGAGTTTCAGTCAGAAGAAAGTCCTTGTTCGTCATCAGGCAACTCACACAGGAGAAAAACCATTTAAATGCTCAGAGTGTGGAAGGAGCTTCAGTGTGAAATCATCCCTTGTTCGTCATCAGGCAACTCATACAGAAGGAAAGCCATTTAAATGCTCAGTCTGTGGAAAGAGTTTCAGTCAGAAGAAAGTCCTTTTTCGTCATCGGGCAACTCACACAGGAGAAAAACCATTTAAATGCTCAGAGTGTGGAAGGAGCTTCAGTGCGAAATCATCCCTTGTTCGTCATCAGGCAACTCATACAGGAGGAAAGCCATTTAAATGCTCAGTCGGTGGAAAGAGTTTCAGTCAGAAGAAAGTCCTTGTTCGTCATCAGGCAACTCACACAGGAGAAAAGCCAGACTGTGGAAAAAGCTTCCGTCAAAATACTGGCTTTAATCGTCAACGTGCACGGAAGAAATAGTTAACCCATGGGGTAAAGGCAAGTCCCCTTGTTTTACCTCAGAGAGGGCATGAATCTTTGTCTTAGAAACACAGAGTTAAAAAGCCGGGGGGGGGAGGGGGAGGTCGGGAAAATAATAACTTGATCAATTTTGTTTGATGAAATATCTCATTAAGCATAAGTGATAATATTTTGATGTCATGAATACTTTTTAAACAAAGGTTCTTTTATTGCAATTTTTAGTGTATATCAGAACTTTTATACAAAGAACGATGTTGGACATACAGATTCTATGTAACTACATTGGATTCACAAACCTACAGTTGCATTGCCTAACAAACAAAGGGGAATTACATTTTTACTCAGCATTCACATTACCCATATATATTCATCCATTCTCATGCATCCAAATATTATCCTTTTCTCCCTTGTGCTGTCACCTGGAGAAGAACACCTCTTAGGCCAGTGAAATCCTGGCTATGGGATCAGGCCTTTGCAGACTAAGCTGACCTGCTGGTAAAGCGATGGCTTTAATGCACTTGACGGACTGCTTTTAGGACGATGACTTAAATCTGCGACTGTTTGAATGTTTTTAATGTTTTATATTGTTTTTATTTAAATTGTTTATTTATGCTTTTGGTTGTGGGCACCATGGTGTGCCGGTTGTTAGCCGCCCTGAGTCCCTCTGCGGAGGTCGAGATAGGATGGGATACAAATGTCCAAAATAAATAAATAAAAGGAAGCAAGTGACCAGACTGCATTCCATTGCCGATCTGCCACTTCCAAGGTACACCATCTTTCTTCTTCTCAAGGAGCAGAGCGGTGGGTGGGCCAGACTCCTCTGGTGTGCCACAATTTTGGATTGTAATAAGAGCTCTTATATAGCAATATTTCCACTGATGTTGTCCCAAAGTTGTAAATGAATGATAGACGTTTTCCATCCTGAAACATGTTGATTCCATCTCAGTTTCCTGGCAGATGTTGACTCTGCGTAATTGGTGCTGACAAATGCAAACAGCCTTCTGTTGACTTCATTCTTAACATAAGGAACCTTGTAAACATTTCCTTAACTTGAAAGAACCATTGTCTCTGATTAATGTAAACACGTTGTTTTTCCCCGAAAAGTTCAACAGTTAATCATTCTCACAGTTCTTATCAATGTCAGCAGTTCATCAACTTTTAATTACAGTTTCATGAGTGTAGTTAATTATTTTTTCATTGCAGGACTCAATTCCTTAGAATTGTGTCTTCAGCCAAATCAGTACACTTTTCATACAATTTATTAAAACCATACATCATATTTCATTGCAACACTGAAAGCTAAAGGAAGGCTATTTTAGGGATTTTTTATCCATTAATTGGTTACCTCAACTATTTCCTGCCATGTATATTCAGGGTTAAAAATACATTTAATTGAGAAGTTTGATGAGTAGTGTGGGAATGGGTTCGATTAATGACTAGCAGCCCTATGTTTTGTGTAATTCTATGTATGTAGTAGGGGTTTTTTTTTTATGAAATATCTAATAAAGAATAACTGATAAATTGTTTTCTATCCATTCATGCATACTGGTTACTGTAAATATATGACCTGTAGTTTACAATACAAAGGAAGGCTGAAACTAAGACAAGTCAAACCAGCATTCTGGACTTTAGAAGAGCTGACTTCCAAAAAATGAAGGAAATACTGAGTGGCATTCCATGGACGCTGATAATAAAAGACAAAGGAGGTCAGGATGGATGGGAGTTTTTCAAGAGTGAAATACTCAAGGTGCAATTGCAAACAGTGCCAGCAAAGAGAAAAAAATAACACAAGTACAAAGAAGCCAGAATGTATGTCCAAAGAACTTCTAGCTGGGCTAAGACTCAAAAGAGGTATGCACAAGAAGTGGAAAAAGGGAGAAATCATCAAAGAAGAATTCAAACAAATAGCCAACTCCTGTAGGGAGAAGGTTCGCAAGGCTAAAGCACAAAACAAGCTCAGGCTTGCTAGGGACATTAGAAACAATAAAAAGGGCTTCTTTGCTTATGTCAGTAGAAAAACGAAGAACAAGGAGGCAAAAGCCTCTGCGAGAAGAAGATGGGAAAATCATGACAGGGGATAGAGAAAAGGCAGAACTATTTAATGCATCCTTTGCCTCAGTCATCTCACAAAAAGAAAGCCATCCCCATCCTCAGCAACAGGGAGTGACAAAGATTAGTGAAAATGCAACTCTAAATAGGGAAACAAGTTGTCCAGGAACACCTGGCCGTTCTAAACGAATTCAAGTCTTCAGGGCTGATCAACTACATGCAAGAGTATTGAAGGAACTGGCTGAAGTTATTTCAGAACCACTGGCAATCATCTTTGGGAGTTCTTGGAGAATGGGAAAAGTCCCAGCAGATTGGAGGAGGGCCAATGTGGTCCCAATCTTCAAGAAGGGAAAAAAGGATGACCCAAACAACTACCGTCCGGTCAGTCTCACATCAGTACCAGGCAAAGTTCTGGAAAAGATTGTTAAGGAATTGGTCTGCAAACACTTAGAAACAAATGCAGTCATCGCTAATAGTCAACATGGATTTATCAAAAACAAGTCATGCCAGACTAATCTGATCTCTTTCTTCGATAGAGTTACAAGCTGGGTAGATGCGGGGAATGCCGTGGATGTAGCGTACCTGGATTTCAGTAAGGCCTTCGACAAGGTCCCCCATGACCTTCTGGCAAGGAAACTAGTCCAATGTGGGTGTAAGGAAGCGTAATCCCACCTAAATGGGATTACCAAAATTAAATAAATATGTATGTTAATCCACCTAATTTCAACCTAAATTATAAGGAAGTCCCAAAATTGCTTGATTACACTGCCACCATTATATATATATATAGAGACGTTGGAATTGAAGTCTCTATTTATCCCTATCTGCGTTGTGAGGCAACTTTGGTAGAGTGGATTGCACCAAATGTAAAATCAATGGAGGAGGCAGATTTATAACACAGAGAGAACAAGTTTATTGTTAACAGAGCGTAATTGTTGCAATACTGAGATGTTGAACTTGGCACAAGCTTGATGGTTACAATATGGCTTGGTAGAGATACATTCAGGCTTCTGATGTTACAATCCTTTAAACTCCTTCTTCAGTGAAGTACTTTATTATTTCAGTGTTCCCTGTTGTGAATATTCACTCTGTTTGTCCTATACCGGATCAAACCACCGATCTCCAGTCTTTCACTACTGGGATCCCTAAAACCCCCTTTGTTAGATTCTTTTTAACACAAGCAATCTAACAAGGTTTCACCTTCAGCTCCCTTGCTGAAGAAATATTCACAAATGCTAAGAACTAACTGAATCTATACTGCTTCACCACACAGAGCCCTAACTGACTCCGCTCCTCTTCTCAGGGTCTCATCCTCCTGACTAACCCTTAACTGTTACTTTCAAAACCTTTTTCTCCTTAAGCTCCGCCCACCTTCTCTTCTGCCTTGTCACCATGGCAACCTATCTCTCACAGCTAGGCCATGGCCACGCATGTAAAACATAAATACAATTTAAACACAGTACAATAAACCCTTTATAATAAACACTTCTCTACAATGTGGGCTAGGCAAAACTACGGTGAGGTGGATCAGGAATTGGTTAAATGGACGAACCCAGAGGGTGATTCTCCCCAAGGCTTCCTCTTCATCTTGGAAAGAAGTGATGAGCGAAGTACCATCAGCAAGGTTCCGTCCTGGGCCCGGTCCTGCTTTATTAATGATTTAGATGAAGGGTTAGAAGGCATGATCATCAAGTTTGCAGACGACACCAAATTGGGAGGGAGAGCCAATACTCCAGAGGACAGGAGCAGGATTCAAAACGATCTTGACAGATTAGAGAGATGGGCCAAAACTAACAAAATGAAGTTCAACAGGACAAATGCAAGATACTCCACTTTGGCAGGAAAAAAGAAATGCAAAGATACAGAATGGGGGACAATGCCTGGCTCGAGAGCAGTACGTGTGAAAAAGATCTTGGAGTCCTCGTGGACAACAAGTTAAACATGAGCCAACAATGTGATGTGGCGGCAAAAAAGCCAATGGGATTTTGGCCTGCATCAATAGGAGCATAGTGTCTAGATCTAGGGAAGTAATGCTACCCCTCTATTCTGTTTTGGTTAGACCACATCTGGAATATTGTGTCCAGTTCTGGGCACCACAATTCAAGAGAGAGATTGACAAGCTGGAATGTGTCCAGAGGAGGGCGACTAAAATGATCAAGGGTCTGGAGAACAAGCCCTATGAGGAGCGGCTTAAGGAGCTGGGCATGTTTAGCCTGAAGAAGAGAAGGCTGAGAGGAGATATGATAGCCATGTATAAATATGTGAGAGGAAGCCACAGGGAGGAGGGAGCAAGCTTGTTCTCTGCTTCCTTGGAGACTAGGATGCGGAACAATGGCTTCAAACTACAAGAGAGGAGATTCCATCTGAACATGAGGAAGAACTTCCTGACTGTGAGAGCCGTTCAGCAGTGGAACTCTCTGCACCGGAGTGTGGTGGAGGCTCCTTCTTTGGAAGCTTTTAAACAGAGGCTGGATGGCCATCTGTCTGGGGTGCTTTGAATGCAATATCCCTGCTTCTTGGCAGAATGGGGTTGGACTGGATGGCCCTTGAGGTCTCTTCCAACTCTAGGATTCTATGATTGTAGGAGCAGAAGCCAGGGTTCTATAGCTGGGTCTTTCTCTGAAGGGTTAAAGCGACAGAGAGGGGTTCCTAGAGGGGAAGAAGGAAGGAGTGAAAAGGTGAGCACGTCCCTTCCTAGAGAGGCACCGGAAGAGGCTGCAAGGGGTCCTCCGAGGGGGGAAAGGAATGCCACTTCCGGAAGGGAGCCAGTCCTCCTTGGACGGGTCTGCACTCGCCTGGGCAGCTTCTCTCCGTCTATTTCCTGGGTAAACAATGGCCTTTCCTTCAGCTCTGCTTCCTGCCCTGTTCCTTCTTCCGCCTCCTTCTTTATTTACTTCATGGCGGTCTCTTCCCTTTCCTGTCCCGAGAGAGGGAAAGGCGGGAGGTGGCCCACATGGGGGTTCTGTGTGGGAGGTTTGGCCCAATTCTATCGTTGGTGGGGTTCAGAATGCTATTTGACTGTAGGTGAACTATAAATCCTAGCAACTACAACTCCCAAATGTCAAGATTCTATTTCCCCCAAACTCCACCAGTGTTCACATTTGGGCATATTGAGTATTCGTGTAGAGTTTGGTCCAGATCCATCATTGTTTGAGTCCACAGTGATCTCTGGATGTAGGTGAACTACAACTCCAAAACCAAAGGACACTGCCCACCAAACCCTTACAGTATTTTCTGTTGGTCATGGGAGAACTGTGTGCCAAGTTTGGTTCAATTCCATCGTTGGTGGGGTTCAGAATGCTCTTTGATTGTAGGTGAACTATAAATCCCAGCAACTACAACTCCCAAATGACAAAATCAGTGTTTTTGAGTGAAGGACATACATTGGGTTGTTAGGTGTCTTGTGTCCAAATTTGGTGTCAATTCGTCCAGTGGTTTTTGAGTTCTGTTAATCCCACAAACGAACATTACATTTTTATTTATATAGATAAATAAATAAACTAGCTGTACCTGCCATGCATTACTGTGGCCAACCTTCCCTCCCTCTTTCTCTCCTTCTTTCCCTCCCTCTTTCCTTCCTTCTCTTCCTCTTCCCTTCCTTCCCTTTCTTTCCCTCCCTTTCTCTCCTCCTTTCTTTCTCTCCTTTCTTCCCTTCCTTCCTCCTTCCTTCCTTTTTTCTTTCATTCTTTCCTTCTCTTCCCTTCCATCCCCACTTTTCTTTCCCTTTCTCTTTCTCCCCTTTCTTCCTTTTCTACCTATTCTTGGACTGCAACTCCCAGCAGTCCTCCTGATCAATCTATCTACCTACCTATCTATCTATAATCTATCTATCTTATCTGGAGGATTGCTGGTAGTTGCAGTCCAGAAATTGGAAATATGCTCTCAAAGAAATCTAAGGAGAAGAAAACTTGCAGCTTGGAAGCAGTGCATTTGGATCATCCTCCTCTCCTAAAGGTCCTGGCCTAGGGGATGCTGGGAGCTGTAGTCTGGAAGAGAGTGTGGATATGCTATTGTATGTTTTGATTGACGTGGGAGTTGTTTTTGCAAATGTGCTGTAGCATCTTTTTGCTTGTTTTGGCTTTTAAATCCCTTGTTTTTCAGTGTTTTTATGAGTGATGGTAACTCGTTGGCCTAGTAGGTGTATTGTGTCCAAATTTGGTGTCAGTTGGTCCAGTGGTTTTTGAGTTATGTTAATCCCACAATCAAACAGAACATTTTCTGTGTGTGTGTGTGACCCACAGGTTGAGAACCACTGTTCTAGGGTCTGAAGAGGGGAGAGTGTTGCTCCGCGAGAAGGAGGGGACACTGTCCCCAAACACTTTCTCTCCAGATCAAGAAGTCAGTTCTGCATTCAACAGTCATGTTAAAGCATTAACCTACTTAGATAGTATTAACATGACCTATTTCTCTGGTTTGTTTTCTAGGCCCTGTCCGTTCTGCCAGTTCTTCCCCTTCAAAAATCATCTGGCGGGAGAGGAGAGAATATCTTCTTCCACTTTGGAGGCATTCTAGACGCATAGAACCAGGATGGAAGGGCAAGAGCCAGCTGTCATCCCGTTAGAAGTATTTTCTTTGGCTGTTGAGGCAGAGAACAGTAGAGCACCCTGGGAGGACCCTTGGACGAAAGACCGGGAGAGCAATCTGCTCCATTCAGATCTTCAGCGCCAGGGCTTCCGGCATTTCCGCTACGAAGAGGCCTTGGGGCCCAGAGAGCTGTGCAGCCGCCTCCACTCTCTCTGCTGCCTGTGGCTGAAGCCCGAGCGACACTCCAAGGCGGAGATGCTGGACCTGGTGATCCTGGAGCAGTTCCTGGCCATCCTTCCTGCCGAGATGGAGCACTGGGTGAGGGAATGTGGGGCAGAGACCAGCTCCCAGGCCGTGGCCTTGGCTGAAGGATTCCTCCTGAGTCAGGAAGAGGAGAGGAAGCAGGAGAAGCTACAGGTGAGACAGAGAGAGTGAGAGAGAGAGAGAGAGATTCAGCTTATAGGTTCAAGGAACCAAGAATAATAATTTTGAAGGATAATGTAAATCTCTTCTGAACTCCTCAAGCCGGGATTACTGCATTCACTGTCAGGTAACTAATTCTAAGAATTAATACTCTGAAGGGGTATTAGGAATGGAGGACCAAGGTCTGGAAAAGAGCCTTGGAGTGCCCTGACTGCCCCCTTTGCACCCCACAAGGGCTCTCACGGAGAGGAGGGGGCAGTCATCTCCATTCCCCAGGGTGGTATAACCAGGCATAATGATCCGAAGTTATAGGATGGTAAACTTGGAAGATTAAAAGTTATGCCTTGAGAATTCAGTGGTGTGTATTTCAGAGGAAGCAACTGGTTGAGCCACTTCTGAATGCTCTTTCCCTAAGAAACTGTATGTTATTCACAGGTAGAGATTACTCAACAGGGCCCTGAAAGCACACTTATACAGCCTGAGAGCCCCTCTAGGTTAGCCCCAAATTGCAACCCCAGGATTATGCAAAGTACTTAATCTCTTCAGTAGTCCTGAAGCAGAGTACAATGCCCAAACGAAGGCAGAATTCCCACACTAAAATCAAGGAAATACAGATTATTCTACAGAATGAAGAAAACTAGTCTTGGGTCCCAACCACAATCCAAGCGGTCTAGAACAGGTTGCAGAAAGAGAGCCCTCCCTCCTTTTCTAATCTGTCTTTTTCTTTGTGATCTGTGCTGCTTGTTCAGGTGCAGGACTCTGTTGCAAATGAGACCAGTCAGGTGGAAGAGCCTCCTTTAGACATCGTGTGTGTTGTCGTGACTGGAAATGGAGAATATGTCATAGTTGGTAAGGGATGGGCAGTGGTCCTTCTCGCTTGCTCACCTCCTCTTGAGTAGAACTGAAATGCTTGAGCTGTGTGAACTGGAAAAATTTGAGGAGCCTGGGAGGTTAAGAATGCTGCTGACAGGAGACATTACTCGACAATACCTATTTGTGCCACTTTCAAAGTTACTTGATTCCTCTGCTTCTCTTAGAATATTTACAGACAACCCTTTACATTTGCTGGCATTAGGTTGCAACACCCCTGTAAAACAAAATAGTTCACAAAAAAGACCTGGGACCCAAGGAGGGAGTTTAAAAGCGGGCCATGGGGCAAGGGGAGGGTGGCAGGCTTCCGAGGGATGGAACTGTGGGGCAGCCTGAAAAGGGACCGATCTCACCCTCCCTGATGTCTTTCCTCTCTTTCACAGGCAATGAAACATGGCCAAGTGACAGTAGCACAACCTTTCATGACTCTTTCCTAAGAGGAGATTCTGTGGGACCAGAGCAGGTAGGCAGCAGGATCCCTGGAGGGGAGGGAATAGTCAAGTCTCCTCCTCCCTTGACTATTGTCCTGACTCTTAAGTGAACCTCTTTCTTCTTCTACATGCCTTCCATCCAAGATGTTTCCAATGAATGACTTATTCAAAATCATAAATCACAAATTGCCTGGGTTCCCCCACCCCCCCAACCCCCCCACTTAGATGGCATTTTCTCCTCGCAGGTAACATTTTTTGTTTGTTTTCAGGTGACATTTGAAGATGTGTCTGTGAATTTCTCAGAGGAGGAGTGGACCCTCTTGGATTCAAGCCAAAAAGCCTTGCACCACCAAATCATGGAGGAGAATTTAGGAATCGTGTCATCTCTGGGTAAAGCTCCATTTATGCTTGTACTTACCACCAAATCACCAAATCAGATTACAAGTTCTAAAAATCATGCAGTGTTTCAGATCACTTTCTCTGAAGCCAATAGAAAACAAGGTCATTCCATATCCAGATAGGGGCCAGCCCAAGCAGACAATTGGCACTTGGGTGGAGTTGCCACATGAGATAAATTCTAGGTAATGGTTACTTTCCATCCACCAACCATGCTTGTGATTGTGGGAGTGAGACAAGGGCTTCTCTTGAGGATCCTAGCACCCAGGTAGGTTTGAACAAGGAGATCCAATCACTCGAATAGCCTGGACCTGAGCCGTTTAGGTCTTTATAGATCATAACCAGCAATTTGAATTGTGTCTGGAAACAAATTGAGAGCCAGTGGAGCCATGGGAACAAATGACTTGTGTGCTCTCTCTAACCAGCCTTAGTTAACAGTCTGATTGTAGCTCTTTGGATCAGCCAAAGCTTTTAAAACCTTCCAAGGGCTGCCCCAAGTAGAGTAACTATAGTAATCCAAATGGGATGTAACTGAGGCATGTACCACCAAGGGCAGATCTAGATTTTCAAGGAACAGGTGCAGTCTGTGCACATAATTTAAATATGCAAGGCACTCCTGGCCATGCATGAAACCTGGGCCTCCACATTATATTCCAAGTCCCAAACTGGGGACCCGTGTCTTCAGTGGTAATGTAACCCTGTCCATCACAGGATGAATCCTTAATCCCTGATATACCTTCCAACTGATCAGTAGCACCTCTGTCTAGTCTGGATTAAGTTTCAGACCTCACAACCTTTGAGGATGCCTGCGATAGATGCAGGCGAAACGTCAGGAGAGATTGCTTCTAGAACATGGCCATATAGCCCGAAAAACCTACAGCAACCCAGTGATTCCAATCATGAAAGCCTTCAACAATACAAGTTTCAGTTTGTTTGCCCTTCTCCAGCCCATTACTGATGAGAGACATTGGTTAAGTTGGAAAGGAGGAGTAGAGCTTGGTGTCATCTGCATATAGATGGCACCGCACTCCAAAACTCTGAATGACCTCTTCCATATATACTTTAATTGCATAGCGGACAAAACAGATGCCCAGGGGATTCCACAGGCTATAGACAAAGGGTCAAACAGGAACACCCCAGCAGCTCTTTCTGGGTTTGCCTCTCCAGAAAGGAACAGAGCCACACTAAAATGCCACCAATTCCCATCTGGTAAGGTGACCCAGAAGGATACCATGGTTGACGATATTGAGAACTGCTGAAATGTTCCATGGAATCAATAGGTTTTCCACTTCTGTCTGGGTACCTCTGTAGGTTGTCAACTAAGGTTACCAAAGTAGTGTGTCCCCCAGAAGCACTTTCTGGGTTTGCCTCTCTAGGAAGGAACAGAGCCACTGTAAAATGTCTCCCAGTTTCCATATAGGAAGGCGACCCAGAACGATGCTATCATTGATGATATTGAGAACCCATATTGAGAACTGCTGAAATGTTCAGTGGAATCAATAGGGACAAATTCTCCACTTCTGTCTGGGTCCCTCTGAAGGCCATCAACCAAGGTTACCAAAGCAGTCTGTCCCATAAGCAAGTTTCCTTGAGTGGATCAACCCACTGTAATTCAGCCTCTCCCTTTTCCTGCTGCATTCCACTTTGCAGAACATCATTGTCTTTTCCACTGAGGTGCAATATCTCATGTTTATGTCCAAAGTAGGATGGCCTCAGTTTGGCCGCTTTGACTCTCTAGTGACAATTCAGATGGTCACTCTGGTTCATAAGCCCCCGGTTGTGCAATGGGTTAAACCCTTGTGCTGGCAGGACTGAAGACCTACAGATCGGAAGTTCAAATCTGGGGAAAGTGCAGATGAACTCCCTCTATCCGCTCCAGCTCCTCATGCAGGGACATGAGAGAAGCCTCTAACAAGGATGGTAAAACATCAAAACATTCGGGTGTCCTCTGGGCAGCATCCTTGCAGACAGCCAATTCTCTCACACTAGAAGTGACTTACAGTTTCTCAAGTTGCTCCTGACAAAAAAACCCCTCCCATTCATGCTCTGTGCAGCTGCCAGGAGAGAGCGGAGTTGAAAGCTCCAAGCATTGAAGAGAAGTGAAACAGCATGCATGCACCCTCTATATTAGTGGTTCTCAATCTGTGGGTCCCCAGGTGTTTTGGCCTACAACTCCCAGAAATCCCAGCCAGTTTACCAGCTGTTAGGACTTATGGGAGTTGAAGGCCAAAAACATCTGGGGACCCCAGGTTGAGAACCACTGCTCTATATAGTCACCTATTTTCATCTTTGGAGCCAAAGCCCCAAGAGGAATGGCCTTTTATTTTAAATCTAACCAGTATTTTAAGTGGGGCCATGAAGGGTTTTGAGCTAGGTCTGTCAAGCTATTTTTGAGCCTTTTCTGACCATACATACACACCTTGCTTTGTGTATATATAGATTTTTCCATACACAAAAATGAATGCACTTTTGAAGCTGATGATCTAAAAATTATTTTGTCTCGTACCTCTAGCCATTTAAATACCCATTTAAATGCCCAGACTGTAGGGGGGGGGGGTGCTCTTTCTAAAAAAATAAGGGTTTAAAATGGGAGAAAAAACAGTTAATCAATAACATAATAAGTGACAAAACAGAGAGGGAATGTCAAACTCCAGTTTTGTGCAGCTTCATTCAATCCTTTTTAAAATGGCAACTTTATTCTGGCTTCTAATCTGAATTTGAATGTTTGTTATGATGTGTGATGCCATGAGGTTAAGTTCACCTACCTTTGTTGAATCAAGGGTTTTTACCTTTCTTGTACCAGAAGTACAAGGGATTCCAGAGAAATCTGGGCTAATAGCACTATTTTCCCCAGCCCTGGTTGAGCAAAGATTTGCTTTGGGGTTTATATCTTGTTTTAATATTTAAAGCAAAGATATGTTTTTCTCTTAACAGCCAGGTTTGGAAAGGGCTGTGGGAAAGGGCTGTCTTGACTAAATGCGTTTTGCAATTTGTATACTTTTGACTCTAATATAACCTTTTTCTTTTCAACACATGGTCACACTTCCCTTCTTCTCAAACCATATAAATAGAGGAGACACCATTTAAATATTTCGATTTTGGAATGAATTTTGAGTGGGACAAGAGCTTCAGTCAGAAATCAAACCTTGTTCGTCATCAGGCAACTGAAACAGGAGAGAAGCCATTTAAATGCCCAGACTGTGGAAGGAGCTTCAGTCAGAAGAGAGTTTTTGTTCGTCATCTGGCAGCTCACAAAGGAGAGAAGCCATTTAAATGCTTGCAGTGTGGAAAAAGCTTCAGTCGTAAAACAAACCTTGTTCGTCATCAGGCAATTCACACAGGAGAAAAGCCATTTAAATGCCCAGAGTGTGGAAAGAGCTTCTATCAAAAGGAACACCTTGCCATTCATCGGTTAGCTCACACAGGAGAGAGACAATTTAAATGCTTGGAGTGTGGAAAGAGTTTCAGTCAGAAGAGAATTTTTGTTCGTCATCAGGCAATTCACACAGGGGAGAGACTGTTTAAATGCCCAGAGTGTGGAAAGCGCTTCAGTTGGAAGGCAGACCTTGTTCGCCACCAGAAAACTCACACAGGAGAAAAACCATTCAGATGCTTAGAGTGTGGAAAGTGCTTCAAACGGAAGATAGCCCTTGCTTGTCATCAGGCAACTCACACAGGAGAGAAGCCATTTCAGTGCCCAAATTGTGAAAAGCGCTTCTGTCAGAAGGTAGTCCTTGTTCGTCATCTGGCAACTCACACAGGAGAGAGAGTGTTTAAATGCCCAGAGTGTGAAAAGAGCTTCAGACAGAAGAAAGATCTTGTTTGCCATCAGAAAACGCACACGGGAGAGAGACCCTTTGAATGCCCAGAGTGTGGAAAGACCTTCAGTCGTAAATCAAATCTTGTTCGTCATCAGGCAACTCACACAGGAGAGAAGCCATTTCAATGTCCAGAGTGTGAAAAGAGCTTCTGTCAGAAGTCACACCTTGTTCGTCATCATTTAGCTCACACAGGAGAGAGACCATTTAAGTGCTCAGAGTGTGGAAAGGGCTTCAAACGGAAGATAGTCCTTGCTCACCATCAGGAAACTCACAAAGAAGAGAAAACCATTTTAATGCTTACGAGTGGAGAAATACAGAAAGTAGTCCTTGGTCATCATCAGGCAACTCACACAGAAGAGAATTCAGAGTGGGGAATGAGCTTCAGCCAAAATACAAGCTTTCTTTTTTAATAGTCAACCCACACAGGGGAGAAGCCATATGTTTAGAGAGTGGAAAGAGCTTTAACGAGAACCAAAACCTTCGGAAACATGAAATGGAGAGAATGGAGAGAAATCATTTAAATGCTCATAGTGTGGAAAGAGCCTCAGTCAGAACTCACACCAATGTTATTTGTTATTATGCAGTTAACACAGGAGAGAAATAATTTATATCAGTGTTTCTCAACCTTCCTAGTGCCGCGACCCCTTAATACAGTTCCTCATGTTGTGGTGACCCCCAACAATAACATTCTTTTGCTACTTCATAACTGTAATTTTGCTCCTGTTATGAAACATAATTTGGGAGTTGCAGTTGTTGGGATTTATGGTTCACCTATAATCAAAGTGTATTCTGAACTCCACCAACGAGGAATTGAACCAAACTTGGCACAAAGAATGCCCACAACCAACAGAAAACACTGGAAGGGTTTGGTGGGCATTGACCTTGAGTTTGGGAGTTGTAGTTCACCTACATCCAGAGAGCACTATGGACTCAAACAATGATGGATCTGGACCAAACTTGGCACGAATACTCAGTATGCTAAATGTGAATACTGTTGGAGTTTGGGGAAAATAGGCCTTGACATTTGGGAGTTGTAGTTTCTGGGATTTATAGTAAACCTACAATCAAAAAGCATTCTGAACCCCACCAATGATAGAAGTGGGCCAAACTTCCCACACAGAACCCCCATGACCAACAGAAAATACTGTATTGTCGAAGGCTTTCATGGCCGGAATCACTGGGTTGTTGTAGGTTTTTTCGGGCTATATGGCCATGGTCTAGAGGCATTCGCTCCTGACGTTTCGCCTGCATCTATGGCAAGCATCCTCAGAGGTAGTGAGGTCCTCTGAGGATGCTTGCCATAGATGCAGGCGAAACGTCAGGAGAGAATGCCTCTAGACCATGGCCATATAGCCCGAAAAAACCTACAACAACCCAGAAAATACTGTGTTTTCTGATGGTCTTTGGTGACCCCTCTGGCAACCCCTGCCGACCCCTCCAGGGGTCCCGACCCCCAGGTTGAGAAACACTGATTTATATGCTTGGAGTGTCAAAGGAACTTCTCTCAGAAGGGAAATCTTTCAAAGCATCAAAGCTGTCACATTGGGAACAAGCCATTTAAATGCTTGGAGTGTGGCAAAGCTTTCAGCTGGGGAAAAACTTAATTCATCATGAAGTAATGCACACAGAGGACAAACCATTTATACCCTTGGAGTATGGTAAGAGGGGGTCTGTCTTAAGAGCAGTGTCACTCATCGTCCAGTAACTCACATATGAAACTATTTATTTATGGTGTGAGAAGCTTGTCTCAAGAAATCAAATTTCTTGAAGTATTTCTTCAAGAATACATCATGCACTTCATTGGCTGAAATGATTAGCATTGAAAGAACTTCTGTGAAAAGATTCATTTCACACCACGCGTGTTAGGCAGTCCCTTGTAGCTCGAGGATGATTGCCTTCCAGATGTGGTGTCTTGGGTGGTGGGTCCATAGGTGGCTGTGGAGCCCTATTCTTGATCCGCATCTTCTCCTGCAGTGAGGACATCGGTTTCCAGGTGGAAGGGGGTCCTAGTCAGGGTTGGCTTGATGCAACTTCCTCTTGGCATGTTTCTCTCTTTTGCCCTCCGTTCGTGCTTCTTCAAATTCCACAGCACTGCTGGTCACAGCTGACCTCCATCCTCCAGTTAGATCTCCATCACACCAAGCATCCAGCACAGGGGAATTGGAGCTGGAGACAAATCTCTTGTTTCACATCAGACAGGGAATGAATCTTTGTCTCAAACACCGTGGTATTTGGGGGAAATAATAATAATCTAGAATCATGGAATAATAGAGTTGGAAGAGACCACATGGGCCATCTGGTCCAACCCCATCATGCAAGAAAAAGCACAAACCTGATCAGTTGTCTTTGATAAAATGTGTAATTAAGTATAAGTGATAATATTTTGAGAGCTAAAGCATATTTCAGGTTTTTAATCATTCATGCACACTGGTCACTGCAAAGATTTCCTGTCTTGTTAGGGTTTAAAAATACATTTAATTGAGATATTTGATGAGAAGTGTGCGGATGGGTTCGATTAATAACAGCCCTGTGTATCATGTAATTCTTTGTATCCTATGTATGTTGGACTGAGTTTTCTTTCATGAAATATCTAATAAAGCATAACAGGTAAATTGTTTTTCATTCAGTTACTGTGAATATTTCTCCTATTTATAACATATACATAATAGAAAATTTACTACAGATGTGTGTATTCAATCTCAAATTAACACTTGGTGTTTCCTAAAATATGTAATCTAGTTTAGCCTGAAGGAAAGGCATGTTTCAAATTCGGAATCTCTTCTGTATGTTATGATAGATCAGGGGTCCACAAACATTTTAAACAGAGGGCCAGGTCAAACCGTTGAAGGGCCGGATTATAATTTGAAAAAAACATGAATGAATCCCTATGCACACTGCACATATCTCATTTGTAGTGCAAAGAACACTTAAAAACAATACAATAATTAAAATGAGGAGCAATCCTAACAAATATAAACTTATTAGTATTTTAATGGGAAGTGTGGGCCTGCTTTTGGCTGATGAAATAGGATTGTTGTTGTTATGTGCTTTCAAGTCATTACAGACTTAGGTTGACCCTAAGCGAGGGCTGGGTAAATAACCTTGGAGGGTCGCATTCGGCCCGCAGGCATTAGTTTGAGGACCCCTGTGATAGATAATGGTAAAGGTTTTCCCCTGACATTAAGTCCAGTCGTGTCTGACTCGGGGGGGTTGGTGCTCATCTCCATTTCGAGGCTGAAGAGCCAACGTTGTCCGTAGACACCTCCAAGGTTATGTGGCTGGCATGAGTGCATGGAGCACCGTTACCTTTCCACTAGAGCAGTACCTTTTGATCTACTCATATTTGCATGTTTTAGAACTGCTAGATTGGCAGAAGCTGGGGCTGACAGAGGAAGCTCATGCTGCTCCCCAGATTCGAACCTGCGAACTTTTGGTCAACGAGCTCAGCGGTTTAACCCACTGCGCCATCAGGGACTCCCTTAACTAATTTTCCCTTAATGCTGTAAAAAACAAGAACCATATTTTCATTTTTGCTTCTTCATACTCGATTAAAGGCTGCCATTATTAACTATTCATTTTTAATTCTATATTAAATACTATGTTAGTGTAGTTAGTTTTAGGTTTTAAGTTACATGTTGTATGGTTTTAGTGCTAGCTGCTTTGAGTTTCCATTTAGAGTAAAGAAGGTGGATATGAATAATCTATATAAATAAAAATGTAATGTTGTTTTTGGGATTAACATAACTCAAAAACTGCTGGACTAATTGCCGCCGGATTTGGCCACAAGACACCTACTAACCCAAGGAGTGACTATCACTCAAAATAAGTTGATTTTGTCATTTGGGAGTTGTAGTTGCTGGGATTTATAGTTAACCTACGCATGCTGGGGGAAAAGGAAGGAAAAAGGAAGAGGGGCCGACCAAGGGCAAGATGGAAGGATGGGATCCTTGAAGTGACCGGATTGACCTTGAAGGAGCTGGGGGTGGTGACGGCCGACAGGGAGCTCTGGCGTGGGCTGGTCCATGAGGTCACGAAGAGTCTGAAACGACTGAACGAATGAACAACAACAAAACGCATTCCGAACCACCAATTATGGAATTGAACCAAACGTGGCATAACAGGACTCTCATGACCAACAGAAAACACTAGAAGGGTTTGGTGAGCATTGACCTTGAGTTTGGGAGTTGTAGTTCACCTACATCCAGAGGGCAGTTCAAAAACATGCAAATGTGTGTAGACCTCACTACCTCTGAGGATGCTTGCCATAGATGCAGGCAAAACGTCAGGAGAATATGCTTCTAGAACATGGCCATATAGTCTGGAAAAACCTACAACAACCCAGTGAGTAGATCAGTAGGTACAGCTCCGACGGGAAGGTAATGGCGCTCTGTGTAGTCATGCCGGCCACATGACTTTGGAGGAGTCTACAGACAACTTTATATCAAGGGAAAACCTTTGCTTTTACCTAAGGGAAAATTAGCAGGATAGGGTTTTTCTATTGTGAAGAAGACAGTGGAGACAGGCTAGCCCAGGCATGGGCACATTTCAACCTTCCCTCCAGGTGTTTTGGACTTCAACTCCCACAATTCCTACCGGCTCTAGGGAGTTATTGTGGGAGGGGAATCATAGAATCCTACAGTTGGAAGAGACCTCATGGTCCAGTCCATCCAGTCCAACCCCATTCTGCCAAGAAGCAGGAAAATTGTATTCAAAGCACCCCTGACAGATGGCCATCCAGTCTCTGTTTAAAAGCTTCCAAAGAAGGAGCCTCCACCACACTCCCGGGCAGAGAGTTCCACTGCTGAACGGTTCTCACATTCAGGAAGTTCTTCCTCATGTTCAGATGGAATCTCGTTTCTTGTAGTTTGAAGCCATTGTTCCCCGTCCTAGTCTCCAGGGAAGCAGAAAACATGCTCATTTCCTCCTCCCTGTGACTTCCTCTTACATATTTATACATGGCCCTCATCATGTCTCCTCTCAGCCTTGTCTTCTTCAGGCTAAACATGCCCAGCTCTTTAAGCCGCTCCTCATAGGGCTTGTTTTCCAGACGCTTGATCATTTTAGTCAGCAAAAACCAAGCTTGCTCCCTCCTCCCTATGACTTCCACTCACATATTTATACATGGCCCGCATCATGTCTCCTCTCAGCCTTCTGCAGGTTAACCATGCCCAGCTCCTTAAGCTGCTCCTCATAGGGCTTGTTCTCCAGACCCTTTATGATTTTAGTCAGCAAAAACCAAGCATGCCCCCTCCTCCCTATGACTTCCTCTCACATATTTATACATGGCCCTCATCATGTCTCCTCTCAGCCTTCTTCGGGTTAAACATGCCCAGCTCTTTACGCCGCTCCTCATAGGGCTTGTTCTCCAGACCCTTGATTATTTTAATCAGCAAAAACCAAGCTTGCTCCCTCCTCCCTATGACTTCCCTTCACATATTTATACATGGCTATTATATCTCTTCTCAGCCTCCTCTTCTTCAGGCTAAACATGCCCAGCTCCTTAAGCCGCTCCTCATAGGGCTTGTTCTCCAGACCCTTGATAATTTTAGTCAGCAAAAACCAAGCTTGCTCCCTTCTCCCTATGACTTCCTCTCACATATTTATACATGGCCCTCATCATGTCTCCTCTCAGCCTTCTCTTCTTCAAGCTAAACATGCCCAGCTCTTTAAGCCACTCCTCATAGGGCTTGTTCTCCAGACCCTTGGTCATTTTAGTCAGCAAAAACCAAGCATGCCCCCTCCTCCCTATGACTTCCTTTCACGTATTTATACATGGCTATTATGTCTCCTCTTCTTCAGACTAAACATGCCCAGCTCTTTAAGCCGCTCCTCATAGGGCTTGTTCTCCAGACCCTTGATCCTTTTAGTCACCCTCCTCTGGACACATTCCAGCTAGGAAGTCCAAAACATCTGGAGGGAAGCCCTAAGTGTGCCCATGCCTGGGCTAGCAAGTGTTAAGTTGGAGGAGTTGGTAGATGGGAAGGTGGAAGGAAGGAAGGGCCGCCCACAGCCCAAGCTCCACCCTTCTGGCCAGTGGTGAGCAGCATGTCTCTTCCTAGACTGGCACCGGAAGAGGCTTTGTTTGGCTGCAGGGGGTCCTCTGGGGGAGGAGGGTGCCACTTCCGGGAGGGAGTCAGTCCTCCAAGGGATGGAGCTGCAGGTGGGTCCCTTCTCCTATCCAGGGGAGAGAGAGGGAGGGATGGGGGTGCCATGGGGGAGGCTCCTCGGCCTCACCTGGAGGCCTCTCTACCTCTCTCATTGGAAAGAGCAGCCCCTCAGGCAGAGGAAGGCCTTCTGTGGGAGCTTGGGGCTGGAAGTGGGTGGGAGAGGCTGCAGAGGGCCTGCCTGGGAAAGGATAGGGGAGGGATTCACAAAGAGAGCAAAGGAAGGGCCAAGCAATGGAGAAGAACCTGAGTGATGGGTTGTTGCAGGTTTTTTGGGCTATATGGCCATGTTCTAGAAGCATTCTCTACTGACGTTTCGCCTGCATCTATGGCAAGCATCCTCAGAGGTTGTGAGGACCTCACAGCCTCTGAGGATGCTTGCCATAGATGCAGGCGAAACGTCAGGAGAGAATGCTTCTAGAACATGGCCATATAGCCCCCCCAAAAAACCCTGCAACAACCCAGTGATTCCAGCCATGAAATAGAGGGGTTTTATATTAATTTTAATCATTCTCAGCATGACTCATAGAATCTTCGAGCTGGAAGAAACCTTGTGGGCAATCCTGTCCAACCCCATTTGGTCAAGAAGCAGGAAAATTGCAGTCAAAGCACCCCTGACAGATTGCCATCCAGCCTCTGTTTAAAAGCCTCCAAAGAAGGAGCCACCACCACTCTGGGGCAGAGAGTTCCACTGCTGAACAGCTTCCTGAAGTTCTTCCTAATGTTCAGATGGAATCTCCTTTCTTGTAGTTTGAAGCCATTGTTCTGCGTCCTAGTCTCCAGGGCAGCAATAAACAAGCTTGCTCCCTCCTCCCTATGACTCACATATTTATACATGGCTATCATATCTCCTCTCAGTCTTCTCTTCTTCAGGCTAAACATGCCCAGCTCCTTAAGCCGCTCCTCATAGGGCTTGTTCTCCAGACCCTTGATCATTTTAGTCACCCTCCTCTGGACACATTCCAGCTTGTCAATATCTCTCTTGAATTGTGGTGCCCAGAATTGGAAACAATATTCCAGGTGTGGTCTAACCAAAGCAGAATAGAGGGGTAGCATTACTTCCTTAGATCTAGACACTATGCTCCTATTGATGCAGGCCAAAATCCCATTGGCTTTTTTTGCCGCCACATCACATTCCTGGCTCATGTTTAACTTGTTGTCCACGAGGACTCCAAGATCTTTTTCACACGTACTGCTCTCGAGCCAGGCATCCCCCATTCTGTATCTTTGCATTTTGTTTTTCCTGCCAAAGTGGAGTATCTTGCATTTGTCACTGTTGAACTTCATTTTGTTAGTTTTGGCCAATCATCTCTCTAATCTGTCAAGATCGTTTTGAATGATCGTTTGATGATGTATGCAGGAGACAAGATGGAACTGTCCCCTGGCCCCTCTCTCTTCAATGAGCTCACATTAATACTGTTGAGGAGGGATTATGTTTGCCATGAATGTCGAATTAATGACTGGCTTCTGCATCTGGAGAAAAAAGGTTCAGGGAGAGGGATCCTCTCCTTCTTAAGGACCAAAGCCATCACCTGGGTTTTCCTCCATTGCTTGTTGTCCACGAGGACTCAATAATAATAATAATAATAAAAATCTTTATACCCCACCACCATCTCCCCAAAGGGGTCTCGGGGTGGCTAACATGAGTCCAAGCCCAAAAACTATAGCAAGGTTAGACAAAACAACAGTAAAATTACATCATACAAAATATATAAAGTAACAAAATAAAATAAACAGTGCGAAATAACATAATAAACATCAAACATAAAGGGCGGGACAAATGTGCAAGATAAAATGTTAAAACGTTAAAACCCTGGGTGAGATACGAATAGAAAAAAGTGCATTTATAAAGAAGTCTCCAGGGCAGCAGACAACGAGGTTGCTCACTCCTCCCTATGACTTCCCCTCATATTTATACATGGCTGTCATGTCTCCTCTCAGCCTTCTGTTCTGCAGGTTAAGCATGCCCAGTTCTTTAAGCCGCTCCTCATAGAGCTTGTTTTCCATACCCTTGATCATTTTAGTCGCCCTCCTCTGGACACATTCCAGCTTTGAGTCAACATATCTCTTCAATTGTGGTGCACAGAATTGGACACAGTATTCCAGGTGTGGTCTAACCAAGGCAGAATAGAGCATGGGGAGCATGACTTCCCTGGATCTAGAATCATAGAATCAAAGAGTTGGAAGAGACCTCATGGGCCATCCAGTCCACCCCCATTCTGCCAAGCAGCAGGAATATTGCATTCAAATCACCCCTGACAAATGGCCTTCCAGCCCCTGTTTAAAAGCTTCCAAAGAAGGAGCCTCCACCACACTCCGGGGCAGAGAGTTCCACTGCTGAACGGCTCTCACAGTCAGGAAGTTCTTCCTCATGTTCAAATGGAATCTCCTCTCTTGTAGGAGATTCCATCTGAACATGAGGAAGAACTTCCTGACTGTGAGAGCCGTTCAGCAGTGGAACTCTAGACTCCTATCGATGCCGGCCAAAATCCCATTGGCTTTTTTTTGCCACTGCATCACATTGTTGGCTCATGTTTAACTTGTTGTCCACGAGGACTCCCAAGATCCTTTTCAAAGGAGACTCAAAGTGGCTTCCAACATAATTATGGCGATCATTTCACAGACTGAAACCTAACATAACAATAATAGCCAATTATCAATTAAATCATAAAGGACGGCATCATTTAAGATTCAAACATGAAATGAAAAACATATCAATATAAACATTTAAATCACACAATCCAACCGTTGTAGTCCAGGCCGTTCCAAATATCACATCTATTTCACATAATCCCTGATCATTCCTTGTACTGCTTACTGCCCAAAGGCTTGGTCCCATAGCCAAGTATTTACTATTCTTCTGAAGGCCAGGAGGGAAGGGCATTGATCAAATTTTGTTGGGGAGGAAGTTCCAGAGCCGAGGAGCCACCACTGAGAAGACCCTGTCTCTCATCCCCACCAAACCGAGAGCAGGGCCTCCCCAGACGATCTCAGTAAATCAAATCATTTATTTTGGTCATAAACCAGCACAGGAAATATAAGTCACATTTTCATGCAAACTTGGTACATTTAGTACATTTAAATTATAAATACTGAAGCACAATAAGGGAGGGAGCGGAAGAGGAATCAGGGCAAAAACATACAGTGCACAGGTCTATCAGCAAATTATAGAATCAAGGAAGATGATTACTGGATATACAGTTAAGTTTTGGGACCAGTAAACCCCTGACGGATCTTGTATGCTGCTGCACAGATGATCTTAACCTTCAAGATGGTTCATAGAGGGAGATAAGTTTGAACAGGTAAGCTGGGCAAGAACCGTTTAGAGCTTTATAGGCTAAAGCCAGCACTTTGAATTGTGTTTGGTAGCAGACTGGCAGCCAGCGGAGCTGGTGTAACGGGGATTGTATGCTCCCTGTACTGCGATGTACTGCAGGGATTGTATGCTCCCTGTACTGTTTGGAAGCTTCCAAACAGTCTTCAGAGGCAACCCCACATAGAGCGCATTTTAGTAGTCTATATGGGATGTAACCAGAATGTGGACTACTGTGGCCAAGTCTAACTTCCCAAAGTACGGGCTCAACTGGCACACAAGCTTTAGTTGGGCAAAAGTGCACCTGGTCACTGCCAAAACCTGGGGTTCCTGGCTCTGTAATGAGTCCAGCATCACTCCCAAACTGTGAACCTGTGTCTTCAGGGGAAGTGTAACCCCGTCCAACACAGGCTGTAACCCTATACCGTGTTCAGCTTTACGACTGACCAGGAGTGTCTCTGTCTTGTCTGCGTTCAATTTCAATTTATTTGCCCTCATCCAGACCATGTCTGTATTCACATGAGCTCGTTCATCTTGTTTTGGTTGCAGGCTCCAACAATTCTCCCAATCCTCCCACTTTGAATGTCTTCTGAGGGAAGAGGTGGAGATATCTTCATCCAGTTTGGAGGGAGCCAAGAAGTGCAGAACCAAGATGGAAGGGCCAGAGCCAGCTGCCACCCAGATAGAAGTATTTTCTTCTGCTGTTGAGGGAGAAAACAAGAGAGCTCTCTGGGAGGACCCTTGGAGGAAAGACTGGGAGAGCAATCTGCTCCATTCAGACCTTCAGCGGCAGTGTTTCCGGCATTTCCGCTACGAGGAGGCCTTGGGGCCCCGAGAGGTTTGCAGCCGCCTCCACTCTCTCTGCCGCCTGTGGCTGAAGCCTGAGCAACACTCCAAGGCAGAGATGCTAGACTTATTAATCCTGGAGCAGTTCCTGGCCGTCCTTCCTGCGGAGATGGAGCGCTGGGTGAGGGAATGTGGGGCAGAGACCAGCTCCCAGGCCGTGGCCTTGGCCGAAGGCTTCCTCCTGAGTCAGGAAGAGGAGAAGAAGTGGGAGAAGCGCCAGGTGAGAGAGAGTGGAGGTTCATCTCGTAGTTTCAACAAACCAATAATAATTGTTTTGAAGGATTATGTTAAACTCTTCTGAACTCAGGCTGGGATTATCCCATTCAGCTTTGAATGGCTAACTTTAAGAATAATAGAAACAAATTAGAATGAGTTCAGGGAAGCATTAGGAAAGGAGGACCCAGGTGTGTTCTGTCAGAAATACTGAAAATGAACTAAGCATTTTTGGTTACAAAAATGTGAGTCAAGCACTTCTTTTTTTTTTTGGTCATGTCAGGAGCAACTTGAGAAACTGCAAGTCGCTTCTGGTGTGATAGAATTGGCCGTCTGCGAGGACATTGCCCAAGGGATGCCCAGATGTTTTGATGTCAAGCACTGAAAGGGTTAAATGGATGCAGTGACTCATGGAAGCAGTGGTTCAGTATTTAGCAGGCATACTTGTTGCTTAGTGACGCTCAGTCTGAGAGAGCTCTCAGTGTGAGAGAAGCCTCTCTCTGTGAGAGATCACCCCCAGTGGGAGAAGAAGCCTCATTGTTAGTAGGCCTGATTGTGAGGTAAGCCTCGGTATGAGATGGCCTTGTGTGTGAAGCTCCAGTGTGAAGGTTGCATTTTATTTGTGTGATGGGAACCTTGTTTTTGAAAACCCTCCTATGGAACATACAACATTGGTCTGTGTGTTTTTGTCCTTTTTGTGCTTGTTCAGGTGCAGGACTCTTTTGCAGATGAGACCAACCAGGTGGAGGAGTCACACATTTGGGTCGTCCAGATTGGAGACGGAGAATATATTGTAGTTGGTAAGGGATGGCAATGATCCTTATTACTCACTCACCTTCTCTTGAGTAGACCTGAAATGCCTGAGCTGTTGTAGTTCAGCGTGCTGACAGAGTTGCTACTCCCAGTGTTGTTGTTCATTCGTTCAGTCGTCTCCGACTCTTCGTGACCTCATGGACCAGCCTACGCCAGAGCTCCCTGTCGGCCGTTACCACCCCCAGCTCCCTCAAGGTCAGTCCAGTCACTTCAAGGATGCCATCCATCCATCTTGCCCTTGGTCGGCCCCTCTTCCTTTTGCCTTCCACTTTCCCCAGCATAATTGTCTTCTCTAGGTTTTCCTGTCTCCTCATGATGTGGCCAAAGTACTTCAACTTTGTCTCTAGTATCTTTCCCTCCAGTGAGCAGTCGGGCTTTATTTCCTGGAGGATGGACAGGTTGGATCTTCTCGCAGTCCAAGGCACTCTCAGCACTTTCCTCCAACACCACAGCTCAAAAGCATCGATCTTCCTTCGCTCAGCCTTCCCTAAGGTCCAGCTCTCACATCCGTAGGTTACTACAGGGAATACCATGGCTTTGACAAGGCGGATCTTTGTTGCCAGTCTGATGTCTCTACTCTTCACTATTTTATCGAGACTGGACATTGCTCTCCTCCCAAGAAGTAAGCGTCTTCTGATTTCCTGGCTACAGTCTGCATCTGCAGTAATCTTTGCACCTAGTAGCAGAGGGGAAAGGTCTCCTCGGGAGTCGGAGGGAGAACGGCAGCGTCAGCGCATTCGGGAAATCATCATGGCTCCAAGTGATACCGATACATTTCCAGGCTTCTCAGATTACGACATGGGGAATGGGAAAGTGAGCAGAGGTGTAAAAAGGGCTGCTTGTGAGCCGGAATCTGAGGGGGAATTACAAAGGAAGCGTATTCAGGAGATACTTAGTGCACCAACTGATGAGGATGACTTCTTGGGATTCGAAGGGAGTTCTGGGTCTAGAAGTGACATRGAGGGGGAAGACTTGGATTGGACCCGTGTGCAAAACATKAGGGACATTTGTAACCAGCCCACCTCTAGCGAGGAGTTTGARGGGTTCACTGGGGACTGGCAGCCAGGTGATTCKTGGCAGGATCTGAACCCTGATAGTAATTGGYAGAGGTGGAGGGATGGGCACTCAGCTGCGGACTTGGRAGCAGGTGATAGCGWTGACGAGAGGGTGGGGAGCTCATCAARCTCTGACGATGAGCTTTGAGATATAAGGGGGTTCTGTTGGCACATCTAGTTGCAGGAAGCAAAGTGTCTTTATCGGACTTAATTATTTGTGCTGCCAACTCTCACCCTTGGGTCCTGGGCTTCAGCCTCGWGTGTTCCTGAATCTCTGTTTCTCCAGCGTTCCAGCTTTGCTTAACTTCGGATTGACCAYGGACTGGTTTGACTASRCTCTGGCTTTTCTGGAYTTTGTTTGCTAATATCTTTGTGACTGAAACATTTCTTAGTTTAGAAATTGTGTTCTTCATGCTCCATTGACTGTATTTTTGCTATATCTTGATTTTTAAGCAGTTTGCTTCACCTTTTGTTTAAAGTGGATTATAAGGCAGCACTATAATCTGGATTATATTTTTGTTTATTGGAACAACTACTTTTTGGTGCCAAATCACTCATAGGTCCTTCTGCACTGCTGTTAAGTGCATTTTTGGTCCTTTTGTTTTCAATAAAGCTGTGTTTGAACCTTTATTTTGTGTCTGGCATTGTTTACAAGCATCTGGGTCTTGACATGAGCTGTGTGAATTGAAAAAAATTGGGGAAGCCTGGGAACTTAAGAATGCTGTTGACAGGAAACATTTCCCTACAATAGTTATTTGTGCCACTTTTAGAGTTACATTAACTGGTGTTGAATCTTGCCATTGTGTTTTCTATTGTTGTCAGCTGCCCTGAGTCTGCTTGGAGAGATAAGGCGAGCTATAAATAAAGGTTACTATTAGATTATTATTGATTCCTTTGCTTCTCTCTGAATGTTTACATTAGTGAATATGCTCTTGGTACATTGGCACAAATACAGAAGCTAATACAGTCAGCCCTCTATGTTTCCTGGGATTAGGTTGCAACACCCCCATAAAACAAAATCATCCATATTAAAGACCTGGGACCCAAATCCATGGAGGGAGTTTCAGAGAGTGCCATGGGGGGCAAGTGGAGGGTGGCAGGCTTCCGAGGGAAGGAACTGTGGGGCAGCCTGGAAAAGGGACCGATCTCACCCTTCCTGATGTTTTTCCTCTCTTTCACAGGCAGTGAAACATGGCGAATCGATAGTAGCACAACTTTTCCTGATTCTTTCCTACAAAGCAATTCTGTGGGACCAGATCAGGTAGGCAGCAGGATCCTTGGAGGGGAGGGAAAGCCTAGTCTCCTTCTCCCTTGAATATCCCCCTGACTCTAAATGAACCTCTTTCTTCTACATTCCTTCCATACAAGATTTTTTCAATGAATGAGTTATTCAAAGACGTAAATCACAAATTGCCTGGGTTGTTTTTCCCCACTTGGATGGCGTTTCCTCCTCACAGATGACAAACCGCTGGGAGAGGTCTCCGGAGTTTTGGAGTTGGGTGCCATCTCTATGCAGATGACGTGCAACTCTACTACTCTTTTCCACATAACTCCAAGGAAGCCCCTTGAGTGCTGGACAAGTACCTGGCTGCTGTGGCTGTCTGGATGAGGAGGAACAAGCTGAAGATCAATCCTGACAAGACAGAGGTCCTCCTGGTCGATCGTAAACCGGATCGGGGTATAGGGTGGCAACCTGTGTTGGACGGGGTTGCACTTCCCCTGAAGTCACAGGTCCGCAGTTTGGGGGTCCTCCTGGACTCATCACTTACACTTGAGGCTCAGGCATCGGCGGTGGCCGGGAGAGGCCCTGCTCTCGCTCCCACCTCTTTCGCAGGCGCGATTGGTGGGGATGAGGGAGAGGGCCTTCTCGGTGGTGGCCCCTCGACTCTGGAACTCACTTCCCAGAGACATCAGACATGCCCCAACTCTGGCAGTCTTTAGGAGGAGCTTGAAAACGTGGTTGTTCCAGTTTGCCTTCCCAGAATAAGGAAAACTCTCAGCATTATGTCCTCAAAATGCACTTTACTACTGGTTTAGGATTGACTGTGTTCCCTCATTCTCTCTGAAAATCCTATCCCAATTATATCCTACCTCGCTCACATCAGCATTATTTTTTAATTTTAATCTATCACATTTGGCCCGGCCATTGGTTTTAAATGCTTATATGTTACTGTTGATTGCTTATTGTCTATTTTGTTTATGTGATTTATTATTTATATTGTATTGATTGTTTATTGATGTTTTATTTTATTGATTTGTTTATTGATGTATTGCAGGCTTGGCCTCATGTAAGCCGCACTGAGTCCCTTGGGGAGATGGTAGTGGGGTACAAATAAAGTATTATTATTATTATTATTATTATTATTATTTTCCCCTTCAGATGACTTTTGAAGATGTGTCTGTGGATTTCTCGGAGGAGGAGTGGGCCCTCTTGGATCCAAGCCAAAAAGCTTTGCACCAGCAGATCATGGAGGAGAATTTGGGGATCATGTCATCTCTGGGTAAAGCTCCATTTATGCTTGCAGTTCACCAAATCAGTTTGCAAGTACTACAAAACATCCAGTATTTCAGAGTTCTTCCTCTGAAGCCATAGCAAGAAGACAATTGGCACTTGGGTGGAGTTGCCACATTAGATGAATTCTAGGCATGCTTGTGATGGTGGTGGGAGCGAGCTTCTCTTGAGCATTCTAGCGTCCAGGTAGGTTTGTACAAGGAGATAAAAACAATCAAATAGATCTGAACCATTTAGGCCTTTATAGGTCATGACCGACAATTTGAATTGTGTCTGGAAACAAATTGTCAGCCAGTGTAGCCGTGGCAGCAAATAATAATAATAGTAATAATAATAATTTTATTTCTTACCTGCCTCTCATCACATTCGAAGTGCGTTACAACATTGCTAAAACACATAAGCAAAACATAAAATCATTTAAAAACACTCCAAAAAATATACATATTAAAACATATTTCCTCTCCAGGAAGAAACAGAGCTACTAAAATGCCTCCAATTCTCATCTAGGAAGGAAACCTAGAAGGATACCATAGTTGATGATATTGAGAACTGCTGTCAATAGGCACACATTTTCCACTTCTGTTTGGGTCCATCTCTAGGCCGTCAACCAAGGTCACCAAAGCAGTCTGTCCCATAACCAGGTTCCCTCGAGTGGATTGAACCACTGTAATTCAGCCTTTCTCTTTTCCTGCTGCTGTCCACTTTGCAGAACATTATTGTCTTTCCCAGTGAGGAGCAGGATCTCATGTTTATGTCCAAAGAGGACGGCCTCAGTTTGACCCCTTCAACTCTCTAGGATAATTCATTAGATCAGGTTCCCTCCCATTCATGCTCTGTGCAGCCTCCAGGAGAGAGCGGGATTGAATGTGCCAGGCAGTGAAGAGAAGTGAATCAATGTGCATGCACCCCCTTTCTCACTCTATATATACACCTGTTTTACTCTTTGGGGCCAAAGCCCAAGAGGAGTGGCCTTTAAAAAAATGTAACCAGTATTTTATGTTGGTCCATAAAGAGTTTATGTACCAAGTTTGATCAATTTTTATAAAATCAGTTAGGACCCTTCATAGTCCACACGTACATACTTCAATTTATGTATACAGTAGAGTCTCAGTTATCTGACCTCTGCTCATCTGACACTCTATTATCAAACACCCACTCATGCCAGCGGCAAACACATTTGGCACACTCCTTTGCTCACTCGCTGGATCCTGGTTCTGCACAAGCAAGGGAGGGCTGGCGGCAGTGGCAGCAGAAGCAAGAGCTCTTCCTGCCTCCTCCAGGCCCTGGCTTCCTCCCCTGCTTGTCCTGGTAGCAAAAACGACAGGGGAAGCAGCCACCTTTGCCGCCCTCTCTTTCTCACTCACTGGGTCCTGGTTCTGCTGCCGCCGCTTCTGTTCCCGCCACCTTTGCTGCTGGGAGGGTAGTCAGGTGAGTGAATGAACAAGAGAGGGAGGGCGACAAAGGCGACAGAAGCAGGAGCCTGGAAGAGGTGGCTAGGCTCCTGCTTCTGCTGCCTTTGCTGCCCTCGCTCGCTTGCTCACCGGGTCCTGGTTCTTCTGCCCCTGCTGCTGCCGGGGCCCAGCCTGATGAATGAGCAAGCAAGGGAGGGCGAGCAGCAAAGGCAGCAGCAGCAGAAGTGGGAGTCTGGAAGATGTGGCATGGCTCCTGCTTCTGCTGCTGCCTTTGCAACCCTCCCTTACCCACTTGCTCACTGGGCCAGGTTCCAGCAGCAAAGCTGGTGGCGGCAGTGGTGGCAGCACCAAGGCCAAGCCCTGTGAGTAAGCGAGCGAGGGAGGGTGACAAAGGCAGCCGCTGCTGCCACCGTCCTTTACCACTGGAAGAAGCAGGGTAGGCAACCGGGGCCTGGAGGAGGCAGGAAGGGGGGGGGGGCAGGCTCCTGCCACCTTTTCATATGCATCTTCAGAGCTTGGAAAAGGTATCTTTTTGGACCACCCCTCTAACTATCTCCAGACTATATGAAATATGCATTTCATGTCACTAAACTTTGATTTAATTAAACTTGAAAAATATTAATTTGTTTTGTGAGCCACAGTGAAGTCTTATCTTATTTACTTAAAATGTTTCAAATTTTCTTCTTTGTTTTTTTGTTAGTAAACAAACTCGCTGCCTGAGCGAGCAAATGATCCTAACGTTTTCACTTATCCAGTGTTCTGCTGGCCCATTTATGTTGGATAACAGAGGCTCTATTGTATATTGATTTATTCATACACCAAAAAGCAATACAATAAATACTAGTCCACACTTGTGAAGCTAACAGTATAAAATAGGTTTTGCCTAATGCCTTACTAATTCTGAAGTGAAGAAAATAAAAGGTAGAGGGTGCTCAGGGGTTAAAATGGGAGAAATAACTTTTAATAATATACCTGTCAGGAGTTGATTTCTGCTGTTCAAAAAGTCACCATAAATTCTCTCTGTGACAGCTCGGGATCAGCAGTGGGTGTTGGCGGGACAATTTGAGAGCAGTTGAATGGACTAAATTTTCTCATTATGAAAACACTGATAGGGACATTGGAGGCGTGGAGTGAGATTGGAGAGGAGTGACAAAACAGAGAGAGAGCATCAAAATCTAGATCTGTGCATCTTCATTCAATCCTTTTTATTCTGGCTTCTAATCTCAATTTGGATGTTTGTTCTGCTCTGTGATGCCATGAAGTTAAGTTCACTTACCTTTGTGGCATCAGGCAGATCAAAGGTTGTTACCTTTCTTGTGCCAGAAGCACGAGGGATTCCAGAGAAACCAAGGCTAAGAAAACAGTTCTACTTTCCCCAGCGCTGGTAGAGTTATGATTTACTTTGGGGCTTATATCTTGCTATAATATTTAGAGCAAAGATAAAAGATGTTTTTCTTTTAACAGCCAGTGTTGGAAAGGGCTATGGGAAAGGGCTGTCTTGCCTCACTGCATTTTGTAATTTGTATACTTTAAAACTTTATTCTAATATAACCTTTTCTTTTCAACACATGGTCACGTTTCCTTTGGTCTCAAATCATATAAACAGAAGAGACACAATTTAAATATTTGGAAGATGGAATGAATTTAAATAGGAAGAAAGTGCTCACCTTTTCTCAAGAAACGTACACAAAGGATAAACCATTTAAATGCTTGGAGTGTGGAAAGAACTTCCGTCAGAAGGCACACCTTGTTCGTCACCAGGCAATTCACACAGGAGAAAAGCCGTTTAAATGTTTGGAATGTGGAAAAAGTTTCTCTCGGAAGTTAGGCCTTGTTCATCATCAGGCAATTCACACAGGAGACAAGCCATTTAATTGCTTGCAGTGTGAAAAGAGCTTCAGTCAAAAGAGAAACCTTATTAGTCATCAAGCAACTCACACAGGAGAGAGGCCATTTAAATGCTTGCAGTGTGAAAAGAGTTTCAGTCACAAGCACGTACTTATTCGTCATCAGGCAACACACACAGGAGAGAAGCCATTTAAATGCCCAGAGTGTGGAAAGAGCTTCAGTCAGCACTCACACCTTGTTTGCCATCAGGGAAGTCACACAGGAGAGAGGCCATTTAAATGTTTGGAATGTGGAAAGAGCTTCAGTCAAAAGAGAAGCCTTGTTCATCATCAAGAAACTCACATCGGAGAGAGACCATTTAAATGCTTGGAGTGTGGAAAGAACTTCAGTCATAAAGGAGGCCTTATTCGTCATCAGGCAACTCATATAAGAGAAAAGCCATTTAAATGCTCAGAGTGCAGAAAGAGCTTCAGTTATGAGGAATGCCTTATTCGTCACCAGGCAACTCACACAGGAGAAAAGCCATTTAAATGCTCAGAGTGTGGAAAGAGCTTCAGTCAAAAGATAGACTTTGTACGTCACCAGACAACTCACAGCGGAGAAAAGCCATTTAAATGCTTGCAGTGTGAAAAGAGCTTCAGTCAAAAAAGAAACCTTATTTCTCACCAGGCAATTCACATAGGAGAGAGACCATTTAAATGCTCAGTGTGTGGAAAGAGCTTCAGTCATAAGGGAGGCCTTGTTCGTCATCAAGCAACTCATACAAGAGAAAAGCCATTTAAATGTTTAGAGTGCAGAAGGAGCTTCAGTTATAAGGAACGCCTTTTTTGTCATCAAGCAGTTCACACAGGAGAAAGGCCATTTAAATGTTTACAGTGTGAAAAGAGCTTCAATCAAAAGAAACACCTTATTCATCATCAAGCAATTCACACAGGAGAAAGGCCATTTGAATGCTTGGAGTGTGGAAAGAGCTTCAGTCATAAGGGAGGCCTTGTTTGTCATCAAAAAACTCACACAGGAGAAAAGCCATTTACATGCTCAGAGTGTGGAAAGAGCTTCACTCAAAAGATAGGTCTTGTACGTCACCAGGCAACTCACACAGGAGAAAAGCCATTTAAATGCTTGCAATGTGGAAAGAGCTTCAGTCAAAAGAGAAACCTTATTAGTCATCAGGCAATTCACACAGGAGAGAGGCCATTTAAATGCTCAGACTGTGGAAAGAGTTTCAGTCAGAAGATAGTCCTTGTTCGTCATCAGGCAACTCACACAGGAGAGAAACCAGAGTGTGGAGAGAGCTTCAGTTGAAATACAAGCTTTAATTGTCAACCCACACAGAAGAAATAGTCAACCCATGGGGTAAAGGCAAGTTCCCTTGTTTTACATCAGAGAGTGAATGAATCATTGTCATAGAAACACAGAGTTAAAAAGGCATGACTTTTAGGGAAAATAGTAGCCTGAAAAAAATCTTTGATGAAATGTCTCATTAAGCATAATATTTTGAGAGTTAAAGGAAGGATATTTCAGGGGGGGGTTAAAAATCCATTCATGCATACTGGTTACTGCAGATATTTCCTGTCATGTACATTCGGGGTTTAAAATACATATAATTGAGAAGTTTTATGAGAATTGTGGGAATGGGTTCGATTAATGACTAACAGTCCTGTGTATCATGTAATTCTATGTAGGTGATACGGGGTTTTCTTTCATATAATATCTAATAAAGCATAACCGATGAATTGTTTTCTGTTCAATCATGCATTCTAGTTATTGTGAATATTTAATTGTCTTATCTATAACATATAAATAATAGAAAATCTATTAAAGATGTGTGTGTGTAGTCAATCTGTTTAGAATTCTGAGTCTCTTCCGAATGTTATGATATTAACAGAAGCCATTCTGGGATTCTGGGAGGGTGTCTTTTGAGACAGGTAAAAGGTGGTCTGCAAGGATTCTTGCGAGGACTTTCCCAGAGGAGGTTAGAAGGGAGATACTTCGATAGTTTCCACATTTTTTTCTTTTCCCTTTTGTGAAAAGGGCGATGATGGTGACGTCCTTGAAGTCTGCTGGGATTTTCTCGGTCACCCACACTTTTTCAATGAGCTGGTGGAGTTGTTGTGTCAGCTCAGGTCCACTCTCTTTAAAGACTTCAGAAGGGATCCCATCAGGTCTGCTGGCTTTGTTATATATTTTTTTTTGTTGGCTGATGGCATTGCTGACTTCTTCCAAACTTAACAGTGCTGCAAGCTCATCCCTGGTTTGTTGTTGCAGGATTTGTGAGAGAACCTCTTCGGCCACGTTGGAGTTACGATTCAGGAAGTTTTGGTAGCGCTCTTTCCAACATAGTGCAATTGATTTTTTTGTCCTTCAGAAGTTTGGCTCCATCTGATAAGTGTAGAGTGTATGCCATGATTTCTTGGTCCGTAGATGATCTTTGTGGCTTAAAAAAATCTCTGAGCATCATGGATGTCTGCAAAGTGTTGGATTTCTTCAGCCTTCTTTGTCCACCAGATGTTCTTGTGTTCTCTGGTCCTTCTTTGGACCTCAGCTTTTGCACTGGCGTAGATCTTTTCCTTAGCAGCGCAGTTGGTGTCTCTACACCATATTTGGAAGGCTTTCCTTTTCTTATCAATTAACTGTTGGATCTTGTTGTCATTTTTTGTCAAACCAATCCTGATGATTTTTAGTTTGATATCCAATGGTTTCTTCACAGGCTGTGATGATGGAGGTCTTCAATTTGTTCTAATGTTCCTCAACATTTTCGGGGTGTTCTATGGGTAGATTATCCTTGAGTGCTGTTTGGAGAAGGGCTCGTTTGGAGGGCTTGGGTGTTCATTTTGCGCCTTGTCTTTCTTTCTCGGAGTCTGCGTTTGGGGACGATCTTGATAGCCATTGTGATTCGGATTAACCTGTGGTCTGCCCAGCAGTCATCAGCACCTGTCATTGCTCTTGTGAGAAGCATGTTGTGGCCTCAAAAACATACAGTGTTCACTTAAAATGATTTAGATTAAAATTACTAACATAATAAACACAATTAAAGCTTCAGTGGAGACACTTTTCCCCCTTGATAACCCTTTCAGGAGTGAACTTTCCTTCCAAAGGATAGATTCCTCTCCCTCCCAGTTGTCTCAGCCCTATTCTTAACTAGGAATAGTTTGTAACTCAGGGAAGGCCTGTAGTCTGAAAAACAACATCATCACACAAGTGTGGACAGTCCTAAGGGATGCTCCATCCTGAAAATTGTGAAAGCCATGAATCATAGAATCCTAGAGTTGGAAGAGACCTCATGGGCCATCCAGTCCAACCCCATTCTGCCAAGAAGCAGGAATATTGCATTCAAATCACCCCTGACAGATGGCCATCCAGCCTCTGTTTAAAAGCTTCCAAAGAAGGAGCCTCCACCACACTCCGGGGCAGAGAGTTCCACTGCTGAACAGCTCCCACAGTCAGGAAGTTCTTCCTCATGTTCAGATGGAATCTCCTTTCTTGTAGTTTGAAGCCATTGTTCCGCGTCCTAGTCTCCAGGAAGCAGAAAACAAGCTTGCTCCCTCCTCCCTGTGGCTTCCTCTCACATATTGATACATGGCTATCATATCTCCTCTCAGCCTTCTCTTCTTCAGGCTAAACATGCCCAGCTCCTTAAGCCGCTCCTCATAGGGCTTGTTCTTCAGACCCTTGATCATTTTAGTCGCTCTCCTCTGGACACATTCCAGCTTGTCAATATCTCTCTTGAATTGTGGTGCCCAGAATTGGACACAATATTCCAGGTGTGGTCTAACCAAAGCAGAATAGAGGGGTAGCATGACTTCCCTTGATCTAGACACTATGCTCCTATTGATGCAGGCCAAAATCCCATTGGCTTTTTTTTGCCACCACATCACATTGTTGGTTCATATTTAACTTGTTGTCCACAAGGACTCCTAGATCTTTTTCACACGTACTGCTCTCGAGCCAGGCACCCCCCATTCTATATTTTTGCATTTCGTTTTTCCTGCCAAAGTGGAGTATCTTGCATTTGTCACTGTTAAACTTCATTTTGTTAGTTTTGGCCCATCAAGCCATGACTTGAATCCCTTTCTTTTAGTGCAAGATTGGTAGGTATTTAAGGGTGGATTTGGTGGGCTTCTTTGCAAAAGCCTCTGGTTTATCAAGTCTAAATACAGAAGTAGACTTGTTGTGGAAGATGATCTTGTGCTCTTGCAAAGACTGCCCCAAGAATTTCTAATCTGGTGAGATAGAAGCAATCTCAACTTTTGCACTGTTGACTTTTTACACACATTGTTGCAAAATGTAGCGGTGTAGTTTACTGTAAAGTCTGTTACTCATGTTACACCATGCTTCAAGACAAAATTTCATTTATTTGTAATTAGAAATATTTCACAATATATAATTACTTATTGTTTTTGCGATTAATCACTATGCTTTAATTACGTTCAGTTTGTAACAATAAAAATACACCCTGCATATCAGATATGTACATTATGATTCATAACAGTAGTGAAATTACAGTTATGAAGTAGCAAGGAAAATAATTTTATGATTGGGGGTCACCACAAGATGAGGACCTGTATTAAAGGGTCATGGCATTAGGAAGGTTGAGAACCACTGCTCTAGGCAGAGCATTCCACAGTTGAGGCACCACCGCTGAGAAGGCCCTGTCTCTCGTCCCTGCCAGACACATCTGTGAGGAAGGCGGGGGTGAGAGCAGGGCCTCCCCGGAAGATCTTAGCATTCTGGATGGTTTGTAAGGAGAGATACGTTCAGATAGGTAAGTTGGACCGAAACTGCTTAGGGCTTTATAGGCTAAAGGCAGCACTTTGAATTGTGCCCGGAAGCAGTTTGGCAGCCAGTGGAGCTGGCGCAACAGAGGAGTTTTACGCTCCCTGAGTGCCGCTCCTGTTTAGCAACCTGGCTTCCGCCCATTGGACCATTTGAAGCTCTCGAACAGTCTTCAAAGGAAACCCCACATAGAAAGCATTGCAGTAGTCTATACCGGATGTAACCAGAGCATGGACTACTGTGGTCAAGTCAGACTTCCCAAGGTACAGGCGCAGCTGGCACAGAAGTTTTAACTGTGCAAATGCTCCCCTGGCCATGTTCCAGAAGCATTTTCTCCTGACGTTCTTTCACCCACATCCACTGAGGATTTTATTAGTGGAATATTGAATATCCCACTGAGGATATTATGACTAATGTATTGTTGAAGGCTTTCATGGCCGGAATCACTGGGTTGTTGGTAGTTTTTTTCGGGCTATATGGCCATGTTCTAGAGGCATTCTCTCCTGACGTTTCGCCTCCATCTATGGCAAGCATCCTCAGAGGTAGTGAGGTCTGTTGGAACTAGGAAAAGGGTTTATATATCTGTGGAATGACCAGGGTGAGACAAAGGACCCTTGTCTGCTGGAGCTAGGTGTGAATGTTTCAACTGACCACCTTGATTAGCATTTGATTGCTGGCAGTGCCTGGAGCAATCTTTTGTTGAGAGGTGATTAGATGTCCTTGTTTGTTTCCTCTCTGTTGTTGTGCTGTTCTAATTTTAGAGTTTTTTTAAATACTGGTAGCCAGATTTTGTTCATTTTCATGGTTTCCTCCTTTCTGTTGAAATTGTCCACATGCTTGTGGATTTCAAAGGGTGGGACAAAGGACTCCTGTCTGCTGGAGCTAGGTGTGTCACCTCTCAACAAAAGTTTGCTCCAGGCACTGCCAGGCCATCAAATGCTAATCAAGGTGGTCAGTCGAAACATTCACACCTAGCTCCAGCAGGCAAGAGTCCTTTGTCCCACCCTGGTCTTTCCACAGCTATATAAACCCTTTTGCCTAGTTCCAACAGACCTCACTACCTCTGAGGATGCTTGCCATAGATGCAGGCGAAACGTCAGGAGAAAATGCCTGTAGAACATGGCCCTATAGCCCGAAAAACCTACAACAACCCAGATATTATGACTATTATTAGTGTTGATGCTATTATTTTATAATCAAGATAATAGGTGTGTTTGCATTAAGGGGTTGCCTTACATGCCCAAAAGGAGAGAGGCTTCCTGAGGAGCAGAGGCCAGGGTTTGGTGCCTGGGTCTTTCTCTGAAGGGTTAAAGCGAGCGAGAGGGATTCCTAGAGGGGAAGAAGGAAGGAAGGGCCTCCCATAGCCGGAACCCCGCCCCTTCTGGCCAGTGGTGAGCGCGTCCCTTCCTAGAGAGGCACCGTAAGAAGCTTGGGCTGCAGGGGTTCTCCGAGGGGGGGTGAGGAGTTCCGCTTCCGGAAGGGAGCCAGTCCTCCTAGGGTGGGGCTGGAGGCGGGCCTGCATTCTCTTGGGCAGCTTCTCTCCTCTCTTCTGGGAGATCAGACCATTCCTTAATGCTCCCACCCTTCCCATCTCTTTCCTGGGTAAACTGTGCTTTCCTTCAGCTCTGCTTCCTGCCCTGTTCCTTCTTCCACCTCCTTCTTTATTTACTTCATGGCGGTCTCTTCCCTTTCCTGTCCTGGAGAGAAGACTGTGTGGCTGGCAGAGAGAGCGAGGCATCAGCCAGGGTCTGAGCCAATCCCAGATTATCCGTCAGTGTGGACTCATATAATCCAGTTTAAAGTTGGGAAGGGTTCCTGGGATGGAGGGGCTGCCTGGAAGGGCACTCAGGTAGCAGAGGGAGGGAAGTGGCAAGGAGGGAGGCTCAGGCCCTTTGTTTCTGGAAGGGGCTCTGGAGGCCCCCCTGAGGCCAGCCAAGGGCTCCCTTCTTGCCCTCCCTGCTTCTTCCTCCTTCAGAGGAGAGTCTCTTCCTTCTCAGCCTCAGCTGCAGGTCCCTCTGCCTCTCTTGCAGGCTCAGGGCCCTCCAGGCAGGCCTATCTATCTATCTATCTCAGGATCTGGTCCCAGGTTTTCAGTTTATCCCAGATTATCTGGCAGTGTGGACTCATGACTGTGAGAGCTGTTCAGCAGTGGAACTCTCTGCCCCAGAGTGTGGTGGAGGCTCCTTCTTTGGAGGCTTTTAAGCAGAGGCTCGGTGGCCATCTGTCAGGGGTGCTTTGAATGCAATTTTCCTGCTTCTTGGCAGAATGGGGTTGGACTGGATAGCCCATCAGGTTTCTTCCAATCCTGGGATTCTATGTAATCCAGTTCAAAGCAGAAGACCTGGGATCAGATCTTGGGATGGAGGGCCTGCCTGGAAGGGCCCTCAGGCAGTAGAGGGAGGGAGGTGGCAAGGACGGAGACTGAGGCCCTTTGTTTCGGGGAGGAAGGGGCTCTGGAGGCCCCTCTGAGGCTAGCCAAGGGCTCCCTTCACGTCTTCCTCCTCCTCCTCCCACTTCTTCTTCAGAGGAGAGTGTCTTCCTTCTCAGCCTCAGCTGTAGGTCCCTCTGCTTCTCTTGCAGGCTCAGGGCCCTTCCAGGCAGGCCCTATATGTATATATCGCAGGATCTGGACCCAGGTTTTCTGTTTATCCCACATTATCTGGCAGTGCAGAGTCATGACTGTGAGAGCTGTTCAGCAGTGGAACTCTCTGCCCCAGAGTGTGGTGGAGGCTCCTTCTTTGTAGGCCTTTAAACAGAGGCTGGATGGCCATCTGTCGGGAGTCCTTTGGATGCAATTTCCCTGCTTCTTGGCAGAATGGGGTTGGACTGGATGGCCCACGAGGTCTCTTCCAAATCTATGATTCTGTGTAATCCAGTTCAAAGCAGAAGACCTTGGATCAGATCCTGGGATGAAGGCCCCCCAGGCAGAAGAGGATGGGAGGTTGCAAGGAGGGAGACTCAGGCCATTTGTTTCTTGGATGGAGGAAGGCGCTCTGGAGGTGCCTCTGAGGCTAGCCAAGGGCTCCCTTCATACCTTCCTCCTCCTCCTCCCCCTTCTTCTTCGGAGAAAGGCACCTTCCTTCTCAGCCTCAGCTGCAGGTCCTTCTGCTTCTCTTGCAGGCCCAGGGCCCTTCCAGGCAGGCCATCTATATATATCTCAGGATCTGGACCCAGGTTTTCTGTTTATCCCAGATTATTTGGCAGTGCAGACTCATATAATCCAGTTCAAAGCAGAAGACCTGGGATCAGATCCTAGGACGGAGGACCTGCCTGGAAGGGCCTTCAGGCATCAGAGGGAGGGAGGCAGCAAGGAGGGAGACTCAGGCCCTTTGCTCCTTGGAGGAAGGGGCTCTGGAGGCCCCTCTGAAGCCAGCTAAGGCCTCCCTGCACTCCCTCCCTCCTCCTCCTTGGCCTCCTTCTCTTTCTCCTCCTCCTCCCTCCCCTCCTCCTTCTTCTCCTTCCCAGCCTCAGCTGCAGGTCCCTCTGTTTAGGACTGGAATCTGTGCAGAGAAGTGCAGAGAAAGGCCGCAGGAACAAACCCTCAGGCACTGCCACCAGAAAATGATTTGGAAGGATTCCCAAAGGATGGGAAAGACATAGCAAAGGTTCTAGGGCAGCATATCTCAATCTGGGGGTCAGGACCCCTGGGGAGAGGTCACGAGGGGCTTTCAGAGGGGTCACCAAAGCCTTCTTCTTCAGAGGAGGGCTCCTTCCTTCCCAGCCTCAGCTGCAGGTCCCTCTGCCTGGGACTGGGATCTGTGGCCTGAAGGAGTGCAGAGAAAGCCTCCAGGAACAAACCCTTCAACATCTGCTGCCAGAAAATGATTGGGAAGGATCCTCAAAGGATGGGAAAGAGATAGCAAAGGTTCTAGGGCAGCGTTTCTGAACCTGAGGGTCCGGACCCCTGGGGGGAGGTCACGAGGGGCTTCCAGAGGGGTTGCCAAAGCCCATCAGGAAACACATATCATATATTTCTGATGGACTTAGGAACCCCTTTGGCAGAAAAGGCTGAAGATCTCTCAGCCTGTCCTTCCCTTCGTTTTTGGAGACAGAAGGTGAATCCTCCCACCAAAAGCCTTCCTCCATTGTGATTGACTGGCCTCTCAGCCAAGAGGAGGGCTGATTCTGAGATTTCAAGAGGAGAGCAGGAAGAATGGGAAGCTGGAGGGAGGCTTATTGCCACTGAGTCCCTTTAAGGCATGGGGGTTCTGTGTGGGAAGTTTGGCCCAATTCTGTCGTTGGCGGGGTTCAGAACGCTCTTTGATTGTAGGTGAACTATAAATCCCAGCAACTACAACTCCCAAATGTCAAGGTCTATTTTCCAGAAAGTCCACCAGTGTTCACATCTGGGCATATTGATTATATTCATGCCAAGTTTGGTCCAGATCCATCATTGTTTGAGTCCACAGTGCTCTCTAGCTGTTGGTGAACTACAACTCCAAAACTCAGGGTCAATGCCCACCAAACTTTTCCAGTATTTCCTGTTGGTCATGGGAGTTTTGTTTTCTTTGCCAAGTTTGGTTCAATTCCATTCTTGGTGGATTTCAGAATGATCTTTCATTGTAGGTGAACTATAAATCCCAGTAACTACAACTCCCAAATGACAAAATCAATCTCCCCAACCTCACCAGTATTCAAATTTGGGCATATCTGATATTTTTGCCAAATTTTGTCCAGTGAATAAAAATACATCCTGCATATTAAGTATTTACATTACAATTCATAACTGTAGCAATATTACAGTTATGAAGTAGCAACACAAATAATGTTATGGTTGCAGATCACCACAACATGAGGAAATGTAGCAAGGGGTCACGGAAACACTGTTTGAGGGGCTGAACAAGGGAGAGGTCTACAGGGGACAATGTTGCTCTATGACCCTCTCCCTGAACCCTTTCTCTCTAGATCAAGAAGCCAGTCCTCCATTCAATATTCATAGCAAAACGTTTTCCCACCTTGACAGTATTAAAATGACCTTATTTATATTGTTTGTTTTGTAGGTCGTGTCAGTTCTGCCAATTCTTCCCCTTCAAATATCATCAGGTGGGAGAGGGGAGACTATCTTCCAGCAGTCTGGAGGCATTCTAGATGCATAGAAGAAAGATGGAAGGGCAAGAGCCAGCTGTCACCCAGACTGAAGTATTGTCTTCTGCTGATGAGGCAGAGAAGAATACAGCATTCTGGGAGGACCCTTGGAGGAAAGACCGGGAGAGCAATCTGCTCCATTCAGACCTTCTGTACCAGTGCTTCCGTCATTTCCGCTACGAGGAGACTTTGGGGCCCCGAGAGGTTTGCAGCCGCCTCCACTCTCTCTGCCGCCTGTGGCTGAAGCCCGAGCGACACTCCAAGGCGGAGATGCTGGACCTGGTGATCCTGGAGCAGTTCCTGGCCGTCCTTCCTGCGGAGATGGAGCGCTGGGTGAGGGAATGTGGGGCAGAGACCAGCTCCCAGGCCGTGGCCTTGGCTGAAGGATTCCTCCTGAGTCAGGAAGAGGAGAGGAAGCAGGAGACGCCCCTGGTGAGAGAGAGGGAGAGGAGAGGGTCATCTTGTAGTTTCAAGGAATCAAGAATAATTGTTTTGAAGGATAATGTAAAACTCTTCTAAACTCCTCAGGCCAAGATGATTGCATTCACTTTCAGGTAACTAATTTTAGGAATAATGTAAACAAGTTAGAAGGAGTTCAGAGAGAATTAGGAAAGGAGGACCCAGGTCTGGTGACCTAGGAAAAGAGACTTAGGGTGCTATTATTTCCCCCTTTGAATCCCCCAAGGCAGTGGTCCTCAACCTGTGGGTCCCCAGGTGTTTTGGCCTACAACTCCCAGAAATTTCAGCGAGTTTACCAATAGTTTGGATTTTTGGGAGTTGAAGGCCAAAACATCTGGGGACCCACAGGTTGAGAATCACTATTCTAATGGCTCTCATGGAGTGTAGGAGGGTGGTATAACCATGAAGTTATAGGATGGTAAACTTTGAAGATTAAAAGGAATGTATTGAGAATGCCAGTGGTGTGTATTTCAGAGGAAGAAAATGGCTGAATCATAGAATCAAAGAGTTGGAAGAGACCTCATGGGCCATCCAGTCCAACCCCCTGACAGTTGGACTGGATGGCCCCCTTGCATTCAAAGCACCCCTGACAGATGGCCATCCAGCCTCTGTTTAAAAGCTTCCAAAGAAGGAGCCTCCACCACACTCTGGGGCAGAGAGTTCCACTGCTGAACGGCTCTCACAGTCAGGAAGTTCTTCCTCATGTTCAGATGGAATCTCTTTCCTTGTAGTTTGAAGCCATTGTTCCACGTCCTAGTCTCCAGGGAAGCAGAAAAGAAGCTTGCTCCCTCCTCCCTGTGGCTTCCTCTCACATATTTATACATGGCTATCATGGAATCACTTCTGAATGTTCTTTCCCAAAGAAACTGTATGTTATTCACAGGTAGAGATAACTCAACAGGGACCTAAAAACACAGACATACAAAATTAGATTACACAGCACCCTTCTAGGGTGGCCCCAAATTACGACCGCAGGATTACGTAAAGTACTTCATCTCAGCAGTACTCCTGAAGAAGAGTGCAATGCCCAAACAAAAGCAGAATTCCCACAGGTTGCAGAAAGAAAGCCCTCCCTCCTTTTCTAATCTATTTTTTCCCTTTCTGATCTGTACTGCTTGTTCAGGTGCAGAACGCTGTTGCAGAAGAGACCAGTCAGGTGAAGGAGTCTCTTTCAAACATTTGGCTCGTCCATATTGGAGGAGGAGAATATATCCTAGTTGGTAAGGGATGGCAGTGTCCTTTTTGCTTGCTCACCTCCTCTTGAGTAGACCTGAAATGTCCAGAGCTGTGTGAATCAAAAATAAATGGGGAGCCTGGGAACTTAAGAATGGTGCTGACAGGAGACATTTCCCTACAATGTTTATTTGTGCCACTTTCAGGGTTACTTGATTCCTTTGCTTCTCTCTGGATGTTTACAGTGGTGAATAAGCTCTTTGTGACATTGGCACAAATACAGTCACCTCTCTACATTTCCTGGGAGGGAGTTTGAAAGGGGGCCCTGGGGCTAGGGGAGAGGGGCAGGTTTCCGAGGGAACTGTGGGGCAGTCTGGAAAAGGGATTGCTCTCACCCTCCCTGATGTCTTTCCTCTCTTTCACAGACAGTGAAACATGGCCAAATGGCATCAGCAGAACTTTTCCTGATTCTTTCCTAAGAAGAGATTCTGCAGGACCAGATCAGGTAAACAGCAGGATCCCTGGAGGGGAGGGGGAAACCCAGTCTCCGCCCTTGAATATCCCCCTGACTCTAAATGAACCTCTTTCTTCTACATTCCTTCCATCCAAGATGTTTTCAATGAATGATTTATTGAAAGATGGAAATCACAAATGGCCCGATTTTCCTTTCTGACTTAGGTAGCATTTTCTCCTTGCAGATAACTTTTTTTTGTCTTCAGGTGACTTTTGGAGATGTGTCTGTGGATTTCTCGGAGGAGGAGTGGGCCCTCTTGGATCCAAGCCAAAAAGCCTTGCACCAGCAAGTCATGGAGGAGAATTTAGGAATCGTGTCATCTATGGGTAAAGCTCCATTATGCTTGTAGTTAAACAAATCAGTTTACAAGTTCTAAAAACCATCCAGTGTTTCAGATCTCTTCCTCTGAAGCCATAGAAAACAAGCTCATTCCATATCCAGATAGGGGCCAGCCCAAGAAGACAATTGGCATTTGGGTGGAGTTGCCACATGAGATGAATTCTAGGTGGTTATTTTCCATCCACCAACCATGCTTGTGATGGTGGTGGGAATGTGAAAAAGGGTTTTTCCTGAGGATTCTAGTGCCCAGGTTGGTTTGCACAAGGAAATACAATCAATCAAAAAACCTGGATCTATTTAGGTCTTTATAGGTCATTATATAACCAGCAATTTGCATTGTATCTGGAAACAAATTGGCAGCCAGCAGAGCCATGGCAGCCAATAATAATAATAATAATAATAATAATAATAATAATAATAATAATAATAATAATAGGATGCTTGCCATAGATGCAGGCAAAACTTCTGGAGAGAATGCCTCTAGAACATATAGCCCGAAAAAACCTACAACAACCAAATAATAATAATAATAATAATGGCAATTATTTTATTTCTTATCCACTCTTATCACAGCTCGAGGTGGATTACAACATTGCTAAAACACATAATCAAAACACACAAACATTTAAAAAACACTCCATAAAATACACATCTTTTGTTTCTTTTTATTTATTTAATTAATTAATTATAAATTTTATTTGATAGATCCCATCAATTATCAAACTTTTGCCATACACATATAAAATACACATATTAAAACATATTTCCATAAAATTCATGTTAAAATACACAAAACACAAGTTAGACATAGAGTTGAAGTGTAAAACTCATCATTAGAACTGCCTGAGTAGGCCTTTCGGAAGAGAGAGGTCTTCACTTGTGTCTTAAATTTAAGCAGCTGATCCAGCTGTCGGAGCTCTTCTGGCAGGTCGTTCCACAGTCCTTGGGTTCTGTCAGGCTGGAGCAGATGCCACCCAGAGGACCTCAGTGTTTGGGGAGGATTGTATGGGAGAAGGTGATCCTGTAGGTAACCTGGGCACAAAACCAACACTTAGTACTTTGCCCGGAAACTAATTGGCAGCCAGTGGAGTGACTTTAGGTTATGTGTGATATGTTCACTCCTGGAATGTTCCCATAACCAATCTGACTACCATATTTTGAAACAATTGTGGAGTATCTGAACTTCGTACAAAGATAGCCCAATGTACAGTACAGAAGTCCAACCTTGAGGTGATTTATTTATTTATTTTAAATATTTATATCCCGCCCTTCTCCCCGCAAGTGGGACTCAGCGCGGCTTCACATGAGCATCAGAGGATGCTAACAGCATAAATACCATAAAAATTACAATTCACAATAAAAACATTTTAAAACATTGTACATCATCAGTAAAATTTAACAATAAATTAATAGCTTAATAAGTGAGGTTACCAGTGCATGTACTACCATCTTAAGGTCCTTTAAACCTAGGAAGGGGTGTAGTTGGTAGTCAGCACTCCTGACCGTCACATCTACCTGGGCTGACATTTGAAGAGACAGATCCAGGAGCACTCCCAAGGACTCTTGATGGAAAGCAGCTCTGTTTTGTCTGTATTCGGTTTCAATTTGTTTTTCCTTATCCAGCCCTTTACCTCCTTCCAACATTCATTCAGAGAAGACACGCTATCCTTTGCTGAAACTATTTTTGAAGGCATGGAGAAATGCATTTTGGTGTCATTCGCATACTGATTAAACCACACCCCATGCCTACAGATGGTTTTAACCTACAAAAACCTAAATGGTTCTGGCCTGGTTTACCTACCCAAACATATCTCCTCCTATAAACCATCAAGGACTTTAAGATCTTCTGGAGAGGCCCTGCTCTCGGTCCCACCACCTTCGCAGGGCCTTCTCTGTGGTGGCCCCCCAGCTGTGGAATACTCTCCCCCAGCGGGATTAGGGCTGCACCCTCCCTCATGTCCTTCAGGAAGCAGCTAAAATCCTGGCTTTGGTATCAGACATTCGCAGATTGATGGATGATCCGGTATAGACTAAGAGTTAATGGACAACATTTGGATTGAGTTGGATGATGTTTTAACTTGATAAATTGTTTTTATATGTATTTTAGAACTTATTTATTGTGTATGTTGTTTTTATGATGTTATTTATTGTGCACTGAATTTTTGCTGTTAGCCGTTCTGAGTCTCTCCACGGAGGTAGAGAAGAACGGGATACAAAAGTTCTAAATAAACAAATAAAGATGCTCATTCCCAGGAGTTTCATGTAAATATTAAAGATCATTGGGGATAGAATGGCACCTTGTAGGACACCAGATAACACAATAATGACTTGTGTGCTCTCTGTAGCTAGCTCTAGTTAACAGCCTGACTACAGCTCTTTGGGCCAATCTTCAAAGTCTGCTCCACACTTGTGAAGCTAACAAAATAAAATAGGTTTTGCCTCATGCCATTCCTATTTTTGAAGTAAAGAAAATCAACAGTAGGCAGGTGCTTTAAAAAAGAGACTAAGGGGTTAAAATGGAGGAAATAACATTTAATCAATAATATAAGGAGTGACAAAACAGAGAGAATATAAAACGTCATATCTGTGCATCTTCATTCAGTCTTTTTATTTATTATTATTATTATTTATTTATTTACTGCATTTATATGCCGCCCTTCTCACCCTGAAGGGGACTCAGAGCGGCTTACAGATATATATAAAAAATGGCAACTTTATTCTAGCTTCGGATCTGAGTTTTGATGTTTCTTCTGCTGCCTGATGCAATGAAGTTAAGTTTACCTACCTTTGTGGCATCAGGCATATCAAGACTTTTTACCATTCTTGTGCCAGAAGTTCAGGGGGTTCCAGAAATTAAAGGGTTAAAGAAAACAGCTGTATTTTCCCTAGCCTTGGTTGATTATGATGTGCTTTGAGACTTATATAGTTGTATAATATTTAGAACAAAAAGAAAACAGGTGTTTTTCTCTTAACTGCTAGTGTTGGAAAGGGCTGTCTTGACTAAATGCATTTTGTAATTTGTACTTTTAAACTTTTTTCTAATATAATCTTTTCTTTTCCATGCATGGTCACACTTCCCTTGTTCTCAAACCATGTAAATAGAGGAGACACAATTTAAATATTTTGAAGATGGAATTAATTTCCATAGGAAGGAAGAGCTCATCTTTTCTCAAGAAACTAACCCAAAGGAAAAACCATTTAAATGCTTGGAGTGTGGAAAGAACTACCGTCAGAAGGGAGGCCTTATTTGTCATCAGGCAACTCACACAGGAGTAAAGCCATTTAAATGCTTGCAGTGTGAAAAGAGCTTCAGTCAAAAGAGAAACCTCATTAGTCATCAGGCAACTCACACAGGAGAGAAGCCATTTAAATGCTTGCAGTGTGAAAAGAGCTTCACTCACAAGCATGTCCTTATTCGTCATCAGGCAATTCACACAGGAGAGAAACCATTTCAGTGCTTGGAGTGTGGAAAGAGATTCAGTCTGAACTCACACCTTGTTTGTCATCAGGCAACTCACACAGGAGAAAAGCCATTTAAATGTTTGGAATGTGAAAAGAGCTTCAGTCGCAAACACGTCCTTATTCGTCATCAGGCAATTCACACAGGAGTAAAACAATATAAATGCTCGCAGTGTGAAAAGAGCTTCAGTCAAAAGGGAAACCTTATTAGTCACCAGGCAACTCACACAGGAGAAAGGCCATTTAAATGCTCAGAGTGTGAAAAGTGCTGCAGTCGGAAGACACATCTTGCTTGTCACCAGGCAACTCACACAGGGGAAAAGCCATTTAAATGCTCAGAGTGTGCAAAGAGCTTCAGTCACAAGCACATCCTTCTTTGTCACCAGGCAACTCACACAGGAGAAAAGCCATTTAAATGCTTGCAGTGTGGAAAGAGCTTCAGCCAAAAGAGCAACCTTATTAGTCATCAGGCAACTCACACTGGAATAAAGCCATTTATATGCTCAGAATGTGGAAAGAGCTTCAGTCGGAAATCACACCTTGTTCATCATCAGGCAACTCACAGCAGAGAAAAACCAGAGTGTGGAAAGAGCTGCAGTTGAAATACAAGTCTTCTTTTTTAATTGTCAACCAACACAGAAGAAATGGGGTAGAGGCAAGTTCCCTTGTTTTACATCAGAGGGGGCATGAATCATTGTCATAGAAACACTGAGTTAAAAAGCCATGGCTTTTGGGGAAAATAATAACCTGATCAATTTTCTTTGATGAAATATCTCATTAAACATAACTGATAATATTTTGAGAGTGAAAGGAAGGATATTTCAAGGTTTACCCGTTCATGCATACTGGTTACTGCGCCCATACCTTGAGAGGTCTGACTTGACCATGGTGGTCCACACTCTGGTTACATCCCGTATAGATTACTGCAATGTGCTCTACGTGGGGTTGCATTTGAAGACTGTTCAGAAGCCAGGGCAGCCAAGTTGCTCACTAGAGCGGCACTTAGGAAGCATACAACTCCCCTGTTGCATCAGCTCCACTGGCTGCCAGTCTGCTACCGAGCACAATTCAAAGTGCTGGCTTTAAGCCTATAAAGCCCTAAACGGTTCTGGCCTAGGCTACCTGTACAAAAGTATCTTCCCCTATGAACCAGCTTGGGGACTAAGATAATCTGGGAAGGCCCTGCTCTTGGTCCCGCCTGCCTCACAAGTACTGCTGGCGAGGACAAGAGACAGGGCCTTCTCAGTGGTGGCCCCTCGGTTGTGGAACTCCCTCCCTAGCGACATCAGATCAGCCCCCTCCCTACTAGCCTTCAGGAAGAGAGTAAAAACCTGGCTCTTGGAGCAGGCTTTTGAAAATTAGGGCAATGCAGTATGTCGAATATAGAATTATGTGCAATTTGACTTTTGAATGGCCTTAGACCTTGAACTCTGGATGGCGTGTTTTTAACTTTGAATTTATTTTAACCATTTTAAATATGTTGTAATTTTAAATTATTTTAAGGTGAATTTGTTGTTTTGAGGCACTGGGTATGTGTCATTGTAGGCCGCCTTGAGTCCCCCTGCTAGGGTAGAGAAAGACGGGGTATAAATATAGCAAATAAATAAATATTTCCTGTCATTTATGTTCAGGGTTAAGAATACATTTAATTGAGAAGTTTGATAAGAAGTGTGGGAATGGATTTGATTAATGACTAACAGCCCTGTATCATGTAATTCTATGTTTGTGGTAGGAGGTTTTCTTTTATGAAATATCTAATAAAGCACAACTGATAAATTATTTTCTAACCATTCATGCCTACTGGTTATTGTGAACATTTCTTGTCCTATCTATAACACATAAATAATAGAAACTCTATTACAAGTGTGTGTATTCAATCTCCAAAGACATATGGTGTTTCTTAAGATATGTAGGTGAGAATTAATTAGTTGGATTGCTGTGTGTTTTCTGGACTGTATGGCCATGTTCCAGAAGCATTCTCTCCTACGACTAACAAGGAGTATCTCTCTCTTGGCAGGATATAACTCCAGTCTGTTCGCCCTCATCCAGTCCATTACAGCTGACAGGCATTGGTTCAGAACCAGAACAGCATCCTTAGTATTACGTTGAAAGCAGTAATGGAGTGGGGTGTCGTCTGCATAAATGTGACATCAAACTCCAAAATTCTGGATGATCTCTCCCAACAGTTTCATGTAGATATTAAATAGCATGGGTGACAAGATGGATCCCTGAGGGACACCACAGGCCAAAAGCCAGGAGGTCAAACAGGAGTCATTCAGCAGCACCATCTGGGTTCAATTCTCCAGGAAGGAAACAGTGTCTCCTAATCTCATCTCAGAGTCGGCCCAGAAGAATACCATGGTTGATGGTATCGAAAACTGCTGAGAGGTCCAGGAGAACAAACAGAGACACACTCCCCTTGTCTGGTTCTCTTTGTAGATCATCCACTAAGGCGACCAATGCCATTTCAGTTCTGTAACCAGGCCTGAAACCAGACTGGCATGGATCTAGATAATTGGTATCTTTCCAAGAAACTTTAGAGCTGAGGGGCCACAACTTTCTCCATGATCTTGCCCAAAAAGGAGAGGTTAGACACCGCCCGATAGTTGTTTAATTGAGTGGGATTCAGTGCTGACTCTTCCAGTAAAGGTTTTACTATTGCCTCTTTAAGGACAAATGGAAATATGCCTTGAGATAAGGGGGCATTAACCAGCCCCTTCACCCACTCTGCCAGCCCCCCTCTAGCCAGGATGGGCAAGGATCGAGGATGCAAGTGGTTGCCCTAATTTCTCCCAAGATCTTGTCCATGTACTCAGGTGAAACAGGTTGAAACAAATCCCATAAAATAAGACAAGCAGGTACCTGGCTTACATCTTTGGAGTCTGCATTAACACTGGTGTCTAAGTCAGAATGGATCTAAGCAACTTTATCCACAAAGAATGCTGCAAATTCTTCGCAACGAGCTGCCGAGTGGTCAGGGTCCCCCATATCTGTTTGGATATCAGCTAGCACGTCAACGACTTAAATCAAGAAATCGTTTTCTAAGATCTACAGAGACACTCGCTGGAACACCTCAGCAGGCGAGAGTCCAAAAGTGGCAGGCTCAAACCCAGAACCTCAACCAATGGCTGATACCAAATGAGAGACTCCCTCCTGGGCACACAGAAAACTGGGCGACTTGGAAGGTGCTGAACAGACTGCGCTCTGGCACCACGAGATGCAGAGCCAACCTTAAGAAAGGGGACTACAAAGTGGAATCCATGACATGTGAGTGGAGAAGAGCAAACTACAGACCACCTGCTGCAATGCAACCTGAGCCATGCCACATGCACAATGGAGGACCTTCTTGCAGCAACACCAGAGGCACTCCAAGGGGCCAGCTATTGGTCAAAGGACATTTAATCAACTACCAAGCTTGCAGACTGTGTGTTCTGTTTGTAATGCAACTGTTTGGTCTGCTCCTGACACAATAAATAAATAAATAAATCTGAGAGACAGGGTTTGAACATCCTCTGACCATTCGAAACAGTTCGGCTGGTTGGTTCCTTGCAGAAGCAATGTTGGCAGCAACGTAAGACTTCTGTGCTGCCTTCATTGCCGCGGAGTAGGCTTTTAAATGAGCTGCACACCATGCTCGGTCAGATTTGCTGCGAGTTCTCTGCCAACACACTTCTAGCCTCCTCTTTGCTCACTTCATTGCTGCCAGCTCCTGGGAGAACCAGGGAGCTGATTTGGGATGCCGGCTCTTCGGCTTAGAAATGGAGACGAGCACCAACCCCCAGAGTCAGACACGACTGGACTTAATTTCAGGGGGAAACCTTTACCTTTACTTACATTGGATTCACAAACCAACTTACAGTTACATTGGCTAACTAACAAACAAAGGGGGGGGGGTTTACAGTTTTACCCAGCATTCACACACATGTACATACATTCATCCTCATGCATACATCACCATTTCTCCATTCTTCCTCCATGAAGAACACCTGTTAGGCCAGACTGCTTCCTTGCAAATCTGCCAACACACAGCTCCAAAACTCCAAAATCCCTAAGAACATGACTCCAAAACACACTCTTTTCCCTTGAGAAAAAGAGTTTCAAAGAGTCTAGAATTCTGCTTTCCTTTGCAGATCTGACACTCCCATACACCCTCTCTGCCCTTCCCATGAAAGAGCATGGTGGGTGAACAGCTCGCTGTCTGCCACAATTTCTGGATTGTAATAAGGTTCCTTCTATAGCAATATTTTGCTGATGTCCCAAAGTTGTAAATCAATGATAGACGTTTTCCATCCTGGCCCCATCTCAGTTTCCGGGCAGATGTTGACTCTTCTTGATTCGTGTTGGCCTTGTTTGCTTCTTTCGTAATGTAAGAAATCTTGTAAACATTTCCTTAACGTAAAGTTGGTAAACGTAAGGAGCCCCAGTGTTGACTTCCTTACTTAAAAGAACCATTGTCTTTGGTAATGTAAACAAGTTGTTTTTCCACCAAGAGTTCAAGTCAGCAATGTCATCAGTTAATCACTGTCACAGTTCTCGCCAACAACGTTTAACTGTAGTTGTTATCTGGGTTTCACCCACATCAGTGACAGGCATCCTCTGTGGGAAGTGAGAATGTAGTAATTGGTGACCTTGATGAGCACTGAATAGCCTTGCAGCTTCAAAGCCTCGCTGCCATAATGCAATGATCCAAGTATCCAGACCTTTAGGATTCAGAAACCGGATTATATGGCAGTGTACATGGGTCCCCACTTATCAGAGGTAAGTGGGAATAATGCAATTGACGACCTTGATGAGCACTGAATAGCCTTGCAGCTTCAAAGCCTCACTGCCATAATGCAATGATCCAAGTATCCAGATCTTTGGGATTCAGAAACTGGATTATATGGCAATGTACATGGGTCCCCATTTATCAGACACAAGTGGAATAATGCAACTGGCAATCTTGATGAGCACTGAATAGCTTTGCAGCTTCAAAGCCTCGCTGCCGTAATGCAATGATCCAAGTATCCAGATACAAACAAATTACCGGGATTTAAAAGATTGGTTATATGGCAATGTAGATAGGGCCCCCATTTATCAGAGGCAAGTGGGAATAATGCAATTGGCGACCTTGATGAGCATTGAATAGCCTTGGATCTTCAAAGCCTAACTGCCATAATGCAATGATGCAAGTATCCCCTGGTAATTTGTATATTATTTATTTATTTATTTACAACATTTCTACCCCGCCCTTCTCAACTTCGGGTTGGGGGGGGGGGGGAATCAGACAACAATTAGGATAAGGTTTAGTGTTTGGGTAAGGGTTACGGTAAGGGTAAGGGGTTACGGTTAGAGTTTAGGGTTAGGGTAAGGTTTAGAGCTTGGGTAAGAGTTAGGAGTTACGGTTAGGGTAAGGGTTAGGGCAAGGTTTAGGGTTTGGGTTAGGGCAAGGGTTAGGGTAAGGGTTGGGTTAGGGGTTATGTTAGAGAATGGTTTAGGGTTAGGGTAAGGTTTAGGGTTTGGGTTAGGGTTTGGGTAAAGGGTTAGGGTAAGGTTTAGGGTTTGGGTTAGGATAAGGGTTAGGGGTTATGGTTAAGGAATGGTTTAGGCTTAGGGTAAGGGTTAGGGTATGGGTTAGGGGTATTAGGGTTGGGGTAAGGTTTAGGGTTTGGGTTAGGGTAAGGGGTTATGGATAGAGAACGGTTTAGGGTTGGGGTAAGGGTTACGGTTAGGGTAAGRGTTTGGGGTTATGGTTAGGGAACGGTTTAGGGTTAGGGTAAGGGTTACGATTAGGATTTGGGGTTACGGTTAGGGAACGGTTTAGGGTAAGGGTTACGGTTAGGGTTTGGGGTTACGATTAGGGAACGGTTTAGGGTTAGGGTAAGAGTTACGGTTAGGGTAAGGGTTTGGGGTTACAGTTAGGGAACGGTTTAGGGTTAGGGTAAGGTTTAGGGTTTGGGTTCGTGTTAGCACAAGGGTTAGTGTTAGAGCAAGGGTTACGGTTATGGTAAGGGTTAGGGTAAGCTTTAGGGTTTGGGTTAGGGGTTACAGTTAGGGAACGGGTAAGGGTTAGGGTTTGGGTTCATGTTAGAGCAAGGGTTAGTGTTAGGGCAAGGGTTAGTGTTAGGGTAAGGTTTAGGGTTTGGGTTAGGGGTTACGGTTAGGGAACGGGTTAGGATTAGGGCATGGGTTAGAGGTTACAGTTAGGGCACGGTTTAGAGTTAGGGTAAGGTTTAGGCCAGGGTTTGGGTTAGAGTTAGGGGAGATGTCGATAGTCCATTTTCCATAACATCATCATCGTCATTATTTGCGTGCTATCCGAAAGCCTGGTCCCACAACCACATTTTCAATTTCCTCCTTAAGGAGAGGAGGGATGTAGTTGACCTGATTTCACCGGGGAGCGAGTTCCCCGGGGGGGGGGGCACCACCAAGAAGGCCCTGTCCCTTGTCCCCGCCAAGCGTGTTTGCGCCAGAGGCGGGGCTGAGAGCAGGGGCCTCCCCAGAAGACCTTAAATCATGGGCCATCCAGTCCAACCCCTTTCTTCCAGGCAAGAAAAGCACAGTCAAATCCTCCCTGACAGATGACCAACAAGATTCTATTTACTCCCCCCACTGAAGAAGTGCTGCACCAAAGGAAGACACAGCCTAGGATAACCAGGGGGTTCAGAGCCAACATACCCATGCAGGAGTCATCTTGGCTGAAATCCTGAATGGAAGTGGGAGAGGAGGAAGGAGAGATTGGCATCTGCCCTTCCCCGGAAGCCCCTGTCAGGATCTGAAGGGGTACCAATAGTAAGGAAGGAAGGTCCTCCCACCGCCCAAGCCCCGCCTTCTCCAGCCAGTGAGGCGCGCTTCCCTTCCTAGAGAGGCACCGGAAGAGGCTTCCTTTGGCGGCTGGGGCTACTGGGGGGGGGGGAGGTGGAGTTCCGCTTCCGGAAGGGAGTTAGTCCTCCGAGGGAAGGAGCTGCAGGTGGGTCTCTCTTCTCTTTTCCCAAACGAGGCAAGAAGGCTTTGAGAATGCCTCTCTCCATTACCATTTTACTTACTTACTTGTCCCAGGATGATGGTCCTCCAAGTGTAGTCTCCTAGGGGTGGGCCTGTGGGTGGCTGTGGAGCCCTATTCTTGGCCTGCATCTTCTCCCACAGTGAGGGCATCAGTTTCCAAGTGGAAGGCGGCCCCAGTCCTCTTGGCACGTTTCTCTCTTTCGCCCTCCATTTCGTGCCTCTTCAAATTCTGCAGCACTGCTGGTCACAGCTGACCTCCAGCTGGAGCGCTCAAATGCCAGGCTTCCCAATTCTCTGTGTCTATGCCAGAGTTTTTAAGGTTGGCTTTGAGCCCATCCATGCAGTCATGCCGGCCACATGACCTTGGAGGCGTCTACGGACAGCCAGCTCTTCGGCTTAGAAATGGAGATGAGTACCACACTCCAGAGTCAGACACGACTGGACTTAATGTCAGGGGAAAACCTTAACCTTAACCTAAGTAATCTATTTGTTAAAATTTTCTGAATTTCCTATGGCATTATTTGAGCTGTCTCAGAGAAACCAGGGCAAGTTCTGCTACCGGCTGTCATTCTGATTTTAATGTCCTCTTCCTGCTTGTAATTATGGTTCTTGGGGACATAGTGAAGCACTTCAAACTACAAGAAAGGAGATTCCAGCTGAACATTAGGAAGAAGTTCCTGACTGTTAAAGCTGTTCAACAGTGGAACTCTCTGCCCTGGAGTGTGGTGGAGGCTCCATCTTTGGAGGCTTTTAAGCAGAGGCTGGATGGCCATCTGTTGGGGGTGCTTTGAATGCAATTTTCCTGCTTCTTGGCTGAATGGGGTTGGACTGGATGGCCCACCAGGTCTCTCCTAACTCTAGGATTCTATTATTCTTTCTGAGCATGCCACTGAGATGTGTTACCAGGAATAGTTTTGGATTCCTAAACTCATTCCGTTCAGCAGGGGAACTCTCTGCCCTGGAGTGTGGTGGAGGCTCCTTCTTTGGAAGCTTTTAAACAGAGGCTGGATGGCCATCTGTCAGGGGTGCTCTGAATGCAATATTCCTGCTTCTTGGCAGAATGGGGTTGGACTGGATGACCCATGAGGTCTCTTCCAACTCTTTGATTCTATGATTCTACATCCACTACGGTCATAGTGATATATTTTGGATCTACATTGGACCTAGTCTTCTTAAAGATAGCCTTGTTACCATATTTCTGATTTGTATATTGTATTCTGCCTTTGGTCCCTTATTAGGAGACAGATAGTAATAATAATAATAACAATAATACTTTATTTATACCCTGCCACCATCTCCCCAAGGGGACTTGGGGTGGCCCACATGAGGCCAAGCCTAGCAATACAATAAAGCAAAAATACAGCATAAAATACAATAATATAATGAAAATAAAAATAACAATAAAAATGAATAAAAATAAAATACAGGAAGCAATACAGATAAACACCAGACAATATACAATCACAGTAATTAGATCACGAAAACTGATCACAGTGGGCAGGGCTGGTTAAAAGATTAAAAGGTTAAAAACACTGGGTGAGACAGCAATGTAATGTGTCTGGACAGGGGAATCAGGGACGAAAGTAGGATATAATTGCACTAGAAGTAGAGTAAAGTGCTTCCGAGGGCATTTTATGCAGGGTTTGGTCAAGGTCAGGGATTATTGTTCATTCCTTGAAGGCACACTGGAACAGCCAAGTTTTCAGACTCTTCCTAAAGATTGCCAGGGTGGAGGCTTGCCTAATTTCTCTGGGGAGTGAGTTCCAGGGCCGAGGGGCCACCACTATCCTCAGCCTGGCCTTTTTAAACTGTCTTGACCCTTTTTCCTCGCCCTAACAAATAGCCATGAAGAACAGGCAGGAATATTTTTAATATATATGTGTGTTGTGACATTTTTATGCTTATGTTGTTTTGTTACTTTTATGCTTATATTGTCTACTCTGTATGTTTTGGTGGTGTTACTTGGAAACCGCCCTGAGTCCCCTCGGGGAGATAGAGAGGTATATAAATAAAGATTATTATTATTATTATTATTATTATTATTATTATTATTATTATTATTCTAGCCATCCCCTGCCATGCATTGCTGTGGCCCACATGGGGGTTCTGTGTGGGAGGTTTGGTCCAATTCTATCGTTGGTGGAGTTCAGAATGTTCTGTGATTGAAGGTGAACTATAAATCCCAGCAACTACAACTCCCAAATGTCAAGATTCTGTTTTACCCAAACTCCCCCAGTGTTCACATTTGGGCATATTGAGTATTCGTGTAGAGTTTGGTCCAGATCCATCATTGTTTGAGTCCACAGTGACCTCTGGATGTAGGTGAACTACAACTCCAAAACCATTTTGTTGGTCATGGAAGAACTGTGTGCCAAGTTTGGTTCAATTCCATTGTTGGTGGGGTTCAGAATGCTCTTTGATTGTAGGTGAACTATAAATCCCAGCAACTACAAATCCCAAATGACAAAATCAGGTTTTTGTGAGTGAAAGACATACATTGAGTTGTTAGGTGTCTTGTGTCCAAATTGGGTGTCAATTTATCCAGTGGTTTTTGAGTTCTGTTAATCCCACAAAGGAACATTACATTTTTATTTATATAGATTCTAAGATTATGTATTATCTCATTCTCTCTCACACACATACACAGAGGGAGAAAGAAAGAGGGAGAAGATATGTGTGTGTGTTAATATCAGGTACTGCTGTTGCATTTCTGATGTCCCTCCCGGAGAGAGAGGGAGGGAGTCTCCTCGGCCTCACCTGCAGGTCCCTCTGCCTCTCTCATCAAAAAGAGCAGCCCCCCGGCCTCAGGTAGTGGAAGTCCTTCTGTGGGAGCTGTGGGGCCAGAGGTGGGTGGGAGAGGCTGCAGTGGCAGAGGCCCCACCACCTGCCCCCATAGGGCCTGGCTGGAAGAGGATGGGGAGGGATTCAAAAAGGAGGAGAGAGAGCAAAGGAAGGGCCAAGAAATGGAGAAGAACACGGGTGATGCTTTTGGTCTTTGGGAAGGGGAGGATCCCTCTCATAGAATCAAAGAGTTGGAAGAGACCTCATGGGCCATCTAGTCCCACCCCCTGCCAAGAGCAGGAATATTGCATTCAAAGCACCCCTGACAGATGGCCATACAGCCTCTGTTTAAAAGCTTCCAAAGAAGGAGCCTCCACCACACTCCGGGGCAGAGAGTTCCACTGCTGAACAGCTCTCACAGTCAGGAAGTTGTTCCTCATGTTCAGATGGAATCTCCTTTCTTGTAGTTTGAAGCCATTGTTCCATTGCGTCCTAGTCTCCAGGGAAGCAGAAAACAAGCTTGCTCCCTCCTCCCTGTGGCTTCCTCTCACTTATTTATACATGGCTATCATATCTTCTCCCAGCCTTCTCTTCTTCAGGCTAAACATGCCCAGCTCCTTAAGCCGCTCCTCATAGGGCTTGTTCTCCAGACCCTTGATCATTTTAGTCGCCCTCCTCTGGACACATTCCAGCTTGTCAACATCTCTCTTGAATTGTGGTGCCCAGAATTGGACACAATATTCCAGGTGTGGTCTAACCAAAGCAGAATAGAGGGGTAGCATTACTTCCCTAGATCCCCCTGAATCTTTTCTCTCCAGATCCAGAAGCCGGTCAACAATTCAACATTCAGGACGAAACGTTATCCCTCCTTAACAGTATTAATTGAGCTCACTTATCTTGTTTTATTTGCAGGCCCCACCAGTTCTCTTGAGTATGATTTGAGAGATGAACACATTTTGATCCACTTTGAAGGCAGTCTAGAAGTGCAGAACAAAGATGGAAGAGCCAGAGCCAGCTGTTGCCCAGTCAGAAGGATTTTCTTCGGCTGTTGAGGCAGAGAACAATACAGCATTATTGGAGGACCCTTGGAGGAAAGCCCGGGAGAGCAATCTGCTCCATTCAGACCTTCAGCGCCAGGGCTTCCGGCATTTCTGCTATGAGGAGGCCTTGGGGCCCAGGAAGGTGTGCAGCCGCCTCCACTCTCTCTGCCGCCTGTGGCTGAAGCCCGAGCGACACTCCAAGGCGGAGATGCTGGACCTGGTGATCCTGGAGCAGTTCCTGGCTGTCCTTCCTGCGGAGATGGAGCGCTGGGTGAGGGAATGTGGGGCAGAGACCAGCTCCCAGGCCGTGGCCTTGGCGGAAGGCTTCCTCCTGAGTCAGGAAGAGGAGAGGAAGCAGGAGCAGCCTCAGGTGTGTGTGTGAGAGAGGTTCCTCTTGTAATTTCAAGGAACCAAGAATAATTCTTTTGCAGGATAATGTAACACTCTTCTGTACCCCTCAGGCCAGGATTATTGCATTTAGTGTCAGGTAGCTAATTTTAAGAATAATGTAAACCAGTTAGAACAATTTCAGAGAAGCCTTAGGAAAGAAAGACCCAGGTGTGTTCAGCCTCGAAAAGAGACATGAGGTGCCACGACAGCCCCATTTGCATCACCCAAGGGCTCTCACGGAGAGGAGTGGGGAGTCATCTCCGTTCCCCAGCGTGGGATAACCAGGTATTGAAGTTATAGGAAGGTAAACTTTGAGGATTAAACGGAATGTATTGGGAATTCCAGTGGTGTGTATTTCAGAGGAAGCAACTGCCTGAACCACTTCTGAATATTCTTTCCCTAAGAAACTCTATGTTATTTGCAGTTAGAGATAACTCAACCGGGACCTGAAAGCACAGCTATACAGACTTAGGTTACTCAGCACGAGAGCCCCTCTAGAGTAGCCCCAAATTACAAGCCCAGGATTACGTAAAGTACTTACTTCATCTTAGCAGTAACTGAATCCTGAATCAGACTGCAATGCCCAAATGCAGGCAGAATTCCCACCCCAAAATCAAGGAAAGGCAGATTCTTCTACAGAATGAAGAAAACCAGTCTTGGATCCCAACCACAATCCCAGCAGTCTGGAACAGGTTGCAGAAAGAGAGTCCTCCTTTTCTAATCTGTCTTTTCCCTTGTGATCTGTGCTGCTTGTTCAGGTGGAGGACCCTTTTCCAGATGAGACCAGTCAGGTGGAGGATTCAGACATTTGGGTCGTCCAGATTGGAGAAGACGGAGAATATATTACAGTTGGTAAGGGATGGGCATTGGTCCTTCTTGCTTGTTCACCTCCTTTTGAGTAGACCTGAAATGTCTGAGCTGTGTGGACTGAAAAAAATGGGGAGCCTGGGAGCTTAAGAATTCTGTTCACAGGAGACATTTCTCTACAATAGTTATTTGTGCCACTTTCAAAGTTACTTCATTCCTTTGCTTCTCTCTGGATGTTTGTGATGATGAATATGCTCTTTGCTAAACTGACACAAATACAGAAACTAATACAGTCAACCCTCTATATTTGCTGGGATTAGGTTGCAACACCCCTAAAACAAAATAGTCCACATAAAAGACCTGGGACCCAAATCCAAGGAGAGAGTTTGAAAGAGGGCCAAGGGGCAAGGGGAGGGTGGCAGGCTTCCGAGGGAAGTAACTGTGGTGCAGCCTGGAAAAGGGACCAATCTCACGCTCCCTGATGTCATTCCTCTCTTTCACAGACAGTGAAACATGGCCAAATGACAGTAGCACAACTTTTCCTGATTCTTTCCTAAGAGGAGATTCTGTGGAACCAGATCAGGTAGGCAGCGGGATCCCTGGAAGGGAGGGGAAGCCCAGGCCCCTCCCTTGAATATTGCCCTGACTCTAAATGAATCTCTTTCTTCTACATTCCTTCCATACAAGTTGTTTTCAATGAATTACTTATTGAAAGATGTAAATCACAAAGGGCTTGGGATTATTCTACAACCTGGGTAGCTTTTTCTCCTCGCAGATAACATATTTTTTTCCCTTCAGGTGACTTTTGAAGATGTGTCTGTGGATTTCTCAGAGGAGGAGTGGGCCCTCTTGGATCCAAGCCAGAAAGCCTTGCACCAGCAAGTCGTGGAGGAAAATTTAGGGATCGTGTTATCTCTGGGTAAAGCTCCATTATGCTTGTAGTTAATCTAATCTGTTTACAAATTCTAAAAATGATCCAGTGTTTCAGGTCTTTACTTGTGTCTTAAATTCCAACAGCTGATCTAGCTGTCAGAGCTCTTCTGACAGGTCATTCCACAGTCTTGGGGCGGCCAATTAAAAGGCCCTCTGGATGGCAGTTGCCAATCAGTTCTGGCAGGCTGGAGCAGACACCTCCTTGAGGACTTAAGTGCTTGGGGCGGATTGTAAAGGAGAAAGCGATCCTGTAGGTAACCTGGACCAAAACCATGTAGGGACTTAAAGGTCAAAACCCCAACACTTTGTACTTTGCCCAGAAACTAGTTGGCAGTCAGTGGAGTGGCTTTAGGATATGTGTGATATGTTCAGTCCTGGAATGTGCCTGTAACCAATCAGGCTGCTGTATTTCAAAGCAACTGGAGTATCTGCACTTTGTACAAATATAGCCCAATGTAATGCTCATTACAGAATTCCAACATTGAGGTTACCAGTGGTGTATCAGCCGAAGCTGGTAGTCAGCACTCCTGAGCATTGCATCTACCTGGGCTGACATTTGGAGAGACAGATTCAGGAGCACTCCCAAGGACTTTTGATGGAAAGCAGCTCTGTTTTGTCTGTATTCAGTTTCAATTTGTTTTTCCTCATCCAGCCCTTTACCTCCTCCAGACATTCATTCAGAGGAGACACGGTACCTTTTGCTGAATCTGTTTATGAAGGCATGGAGAAATATATTTGGGTGTCATCAGCATAATGATAATGCCACACCCCATGCCTACAGATGATCATTCCCAGGAGCTTCATGTAAATACTAAAGACCATTGAGGATAGAATGGCACCTTGTGGGAGACCAGATAACACAGTTATGACTTGTGTGCTCTCTGTAGCCAGCCCTAGTTAAATAATAATAATAATAATAATAATAATAATAATAATCTTTATTTGTACCCTGCTACCATCTCCCCAAGGGACTCGGTGTGGCTTACATGAGGCCAAGCCCACAATACATCAATAAACAAAAACATCAAATAAAACAGTCAATACAATACAATTCATTTAAAACATAACAAAAATAAGCAATAAATAATCAACAGTGACATACAAGCATTTAAAAACCAATGGCCGGGCCAAATGTAATAGATTAAAATTAAAATAATGCTGACATGACGTGAACATTTTCAGAGAGAAGTGAGGGAATGCAGTCAGTCCTAAATCAATGGTAAAGTGCATTTTGAGGGCATATTGCTGAGAGTTTTCCTTATTCTGGGAAGGCACACTGGAACAACCACGTTTTCAGGCTCCTCCTAAAGACTGCCAGTCTGACTCCAGCTCTTTGGGCCAATCTCAAAGGCTGCCCCAGATAGAGTAGGTTTTAATAATCCAAATGGGAGGAAACTAAGGCATGTACCACTATGGGCAGATCTGACTTCTCAAGGAACAGGTGCAGTTGGTGCACAAATTCAAAATGTGCAAGGTACTCCTGGTCACGCCTGAAACCCAGGCCTCCAGACTCCATGCCAAGTCCAGGGAGTACCCCCTAAACGGCAGACCTGTGTCTTCAGTGGTAATGTAACCCCATCCATCACAGACTGAATCCCTATTCCCTTATCTATCTTCTGACTGACCAGTAGCATCTCTTTCTACTCATTTTGCCCCTCTCCAGCCCATTACTGGTGAGAGGCACTGGTTTAGTTGGAAAGGAGGAGTAGAGTTTGGTGTCATCTGCATATAGATGGCATCACATTCCAAAACTCTGAATGAGCTCTCCTGTATATATGTTAATTGCCTAGGGGGCAAAACAGATGCCTGGGAGATCCCACAGTCAATGGGCAAGAGATTGAACAGAAATCTCCCAACGACATTTTTGGGTTTGCCCCTCCAGGAAGGTAGAGAGCCACTGTAAAATGCCTCCAATTATTTATTTATTTATTTATTTATTATATTTCTATACCACCATTCTCAGCCCGAGGGCAACTCAGGGCAGTTTACAAAACGGCACAATTCCATGCCCACAAAAATTCCCATCTGGGAAAGCAATCCAGAAGGATACTGTCATTGATGATATTGAGAACTGTGGAATCAATATTTATTTATTTATTTATTTACTTTGCTTATATACCGCTGTTCTCAGCCCAGGGGTGACTCACAGCGGTGTACAACATAGGAAGAACAAAATTCAAAATACAGTAAAAACCATCCACAATCCATAATACAAAAACATTATACAAAAAGCATTATACAAAACATTGTCATTACTACGAAAACCATTCAGCGTCATCTCATCGTCCAAACCACAATCCAATATCATTTTCCGTTGTTCCATTCTATAGTCATTACCAATCATTGCTCTTCTTGTTCGAACGCCTTCTTGAAGAACCAAGTCTTTAATTTCCTGCGGAATATCATCAGGGAAGGAGCCAGTCTAATAGGGATACATTTTCCACTTCTGTCTGGGTCCCTCTGTAGGCTGCCAACCAAGGTTACCAAAGCAATCTATCCCATAAACAGGTTTCTTTGAGTGGACTGAACCACTGTAATTCAGCCTTTCTCTTTTCCTGCTGCTTTTCACTTTGCAGAACATTATTGTCTTTCCCAGTCAGGAGCAGGATTTCATGTTTATGTCCAAAGTAGGATGGCCTCCGTTTGACCCCTTCAGCTCTCTAGGACAATTTAATTAATCAGGTTCCCTCCCATTCATGCTGTGTCCCACCTACAGGAGACAGCAGGGTTGAAGAAGTGACGAGCAGAGTGCCATCAGCAGGGATCCGTCCTGGGCCCGATCCTGTTCAGGATCTTTATTAATGACTTAGATGAAGGGTTAGAAGGCATGATTATCAAGTTTGCAGACAGGACCAAATTGGGAGGGAGAGCCAATACTCCAGAAGACAGGAGCAGAATTCAAAACGATCTTGACAGATTAGAGAGATGATTGGCCAAAACTAACAAAATGAAGTTCAACAGGGACAAATGCAAGATACTCCACTTAGGCAGAAAAAATGAAATGCAAAGATACAGAACAGGGGACGTGTGGGTTGAGAGCAGTACAAGTGAAAAAATCTTGGAGTCCTCGTGGACAGCAAGTTAAACATGAGCCAACAATGTGATGTGGCGGCATCAATAGGAGCCTAGTATCTAGATCCAGGGAAGTCATGCTCCCCATGCTCTATTCTGCCTTGGTTACACCACACCTGGAATCACACTGTGTCCAATTCTGGGCTCCACAATTGAAGGGAGATGTTGACTCTAAGTTGGAATGTGTCCAGAGGAGGTCAACTAAAATGATCAAGGGTCTGGAGAACAAGCCCTATGAGGAACAGCTTACAGAGCTGAGCGTGTTTAGCCTGAAGAAGAGAAGGCTGAGAGGAGACATGATAGCCATGTATAAATATGTGAGAGGAAGTTATAGGAAGGAAGAAGCAAGCTTGTTTTCTGCTGCCCTGGAAACTAGGACGCAATGGAACAATGACTTCAAACTACAAGAAAGGCGATTCCATCTGAACATTAGGAAGAACTTTCTGACTGAGAGCTGTTCAGCAGTGGAACTCTCTGCCCCAGAGTGTGGTGGAGACTCCTTCCTTAGAAGCTTTGAAACAGAGGCTGGATGGCCATCTGTCAGGGGTGCTTTGAATGCAATATTTTGCTTCTTGACAGAGGGGTATTAGCCAAAACTGCCATTAGTGATTTCTTTGCTTGAGCTGTAGAGATCTGAGTAATAAAGCCAAATCCAAAAGACTTGTGAGTGGCTCAAGTTGGAAACTAGATCCTGCAGGGTGTTACAAAACAGAGAGAGAATGTCAAACTCCAGATCTGTGCGTCTTCATTCAATCCTTTTTAAAATGGCAACTTTTTTTGCGCTTCTGATCTGAATTTTGATGTTTGTTCTGCTGCCTGATGCCGTGAAGTTAAGTTCACCCACCTGTGTGGCATCAAGCATATCAAGGGTTTTTACATTTCTTTTGCCAGAAGTACAGCGGATTCCAGAGAAACGAGGTCTAAAGAAAACAGCTCTATTTTCCCCAGCCCTAATTGAGTCATGATTTACTTTGAGGCTTATATCTTGGTATAATATTAGAGCAAAGACAAAAGATGTTTTTCTCCCATGCTGGAAAGGGCTATGGGAAAGTGCTGTCTCGACTAAATGCATTTTGTAATTTGTATACTTTTTAACTTTAATCTAATATAATCTTTTCATTTCAACACTTTGTTTTCCAACCATGTAAATAGAGGAGACACAATTTAAATATTTGGAAGATGGAATGAAATTCAGTTGGAAGGAAGCACTCACCTTTAGTCAAGAAACTCACACAAGAGATAAACCATTTAAATGCTTGGAGTGTGGAAAGAACTTCCATAAGAAGGCATTCCTTGTTCGTCACCAGGCAGTTCACACAGGAGAGAAACCATTTAAATGCTTGGAGTGTGGGAAGAACTTCTGTCAGAAATCAGACCTAGTTCGTCATCAGTCAACTCACAAAGGAGAAAAGCCATTTCAATGTTTGGAATGTGGAAAGAACTTCAGTGAAAAGAGAAACCTTATTTATCACCAGGCAGTTCACACAGGAGAGAAGCCATTTAAATGCTTGCAATGCGAAAAGAGCTTCAGTCGCAAGAACGTCCTTATTCATCATCAGGCAACTCACATAGTAGTAAAGCCATTTAAATGCTTGGAGTGTGGAATGACCTTTACTTATAAGGGAAGCCTGGTTCGTCACCAGGCATCTCATACAATAGAAAAACCATTTAAATGCTTGCAGTGTGAAAAGAGCTTCAGTCACAAGAGAAACCTTAACTGTCATCAGGCAACTCACACAGGAGAGAAGCCATTTAAATGCATGCAGTGTGAAAAGAGCTTCACTCGAAAGAGATACCTTTTTTTTCACCAGGCAGCTCACACAGGAGATAAGCCATTTAAATGCTTGCAGTGTGAAAAGAGCTTCAGTGAAAAGAGAAATCTTATTAGTCACCAGGAAACTCACACAGGAGAAAGACCATTTAAATGCTTACAGTGTGAAAAGAGCTTTGTTCGAAAGAGAAACCTTATTTATCACCAGGCAATTCACACAGGAGAGAGACCATTTAAATGCTCAGAGTGTGGAAAGAGCTTCAGTCAGAAGGGAGGCCTTGTTTGTCATCATTCAACTCATATAAAAGAAAAGCTATTTGAATGCTTGCAGTGTGGAAAGAGCTTTAGTCGAAAAACACATCTTGTTCGCCACCAGAAAACTCACGCAGCAGAAAAGCCATATAAATGCTTGCAGTGTGAAAAGAGCTTCAGTGAAAAGAGATACTTTATTTCTCACCAGGCAACTCACACAGGTGAAAAGCCATTTAAATGCTCAGAATGTGAAAAGAGCTTCTGTCGGAAATCATACCTTGTTCGTCATCAGGCAACCCACAGCGGAGAAAAGCTGAAGTCTGGAACCACAGACAGTTGGAAGAGACCTTGTGGGCCATCCAGTCCAACCCCCTGTCAAGAAGCAGTGGGTTGGTCTGAGCCAAGAAGCATGGCGTTGGAAAGAGCTTCCATTGAAATGCAAGCCTTAATTGTCAACCCACACGGAGGAAATAATCAACCTGTGGGGTAAAGGCAAGTTCACTAATTTTAAGACAGAGAGGGCACGGATCTTTGTCATAAAAACACTGAATTAAAAAGCCGTGGCTTTTGGGGAAAGTAATAACCTGAACAATTTTCTTAGATGAAATACCTCGTTAAGCATAAGTGATAAAATTTGAGCTAAAGTAAGGATATTTCAGGGATTTTTTTACTCCATTCATGCAAACTATTTACTGCAAATGTTTCCTATCATGTATATTCAGGGTTAAAAATACATTTAATTGAAATGTTTGATGAGAAGTGTGGGAATGGGTTCGATTAATGACTGACATGTAATTCTATGTATGTGGTAGAGGGTTTTCTTTTATGAAATATCTAATCATGCATAACTGATGTCTATCCATTCATACAAACTGGTTAATGTGAATATTTCTTGTCCTATCTATAACATATAAATAAAAATAATCTAGTACAGATGTGTGTGTGTGTATATATATATTCAATCTCCAAAAACACAAGGTGTTTCTTAAAATATGTAGGTGAGAATAAATCTAGTTTATCCTGAAGAAAAGGTGTTTGTAGAATTCTGAGTTTATTCTGTATGTTTTGATATGAACTAAATAATTTTGCACTGAGTCTATTTGCTAAAGTCTAAAGGAAAGAAGGAAATGATTAACAATTACCAGAGCTGCCTCCATTAATCCCCATGTTAAATTCCTGGCAGAACCTAAATGATTAATAGTCTAGCTTCCTGTTGACCTATGCAGCCCGAAAGACAGTTGCATCTGTCAAATAGGAAATTTAGGTACCGCTATATGTGGGGAGGCTAATTTAACTAATTTACAACACCATAAAAAACCTTCCAGCATGCGTAAGAATGAGGAAGTACTCCATCAAGACTCGGTGTCACAAGTGGACGGTGAAGCAGCAGCTCCCCTTGTGGCCGGAATCGAGCATACCCTCATGAAGCTGGAATGTTAAATTGCCTCTGTGTCTGTCTATATATGTTGTATGTCTAATAGCACTGAATGCCATGTATATGTGCATTGTAATCCGCCCTGAATCCCCACGGGGTGAGAAGAGTAGAATATAAATACTGGAAATAAATACATAAATAAGGTTATTCCCACTTAGAATTTCTCTTGTCCTTTAGAGCAACCTTCCTCAACCTTGATCTTTTCTTCAGACATACTAGAAAACAATCAATTAAGATTTTCCAAGGGACATTGGCAATTTAACATGACTAGATACTGTCATATTAGGAAAGACTGTCCTAAAGTATTGGATTAGTGCAACTAAGCTTTTGTGAATTCTTGGCAGGTGGAAGGTCAGGATGGGGTGCTCTAGGGCCAAGTGGAGCTGAGGAAAATAATTCCACCAAATGACTTATCCCGTGTATATCTCAATTACATTGAATCATAGACTAATAGAGTTGGATGAGGCCACATGGGTTGAATGAGGCCATCCAGTTCAACCCCCTTCTGCCATGCAGGAAAAGCACAATCAAAGCAGCCCCAACAGATGGCCACCCAGTCTCTGTTTGAAAGCATCAAACAGTTCCATCTTGTCTCCTGCATATGTCATCAGTTGGGGGGCCCTCCCCCAGCACCAACTGCTGCTCTGGGCCAGAGTGAAGAGAGAGGCGGGCAGAAGACAGTTCCACCTTGTCTCCTATGCTATGCTAATGATATAATATAATGTAATGTAATATTTATTTATTTACTTTGCTTATATACCGCTGTTCTCAGCCCGGGGGCAACTCACAGCGGTGTACAAGATAGAAGAACAAGGTTCAAAAGTCAAGACACAATCTAAAAGTCAATCTAGCAATAACCAAAAATATCATCAAAAACATCAACAATATCAATAATACAAAAAGCCATTCACGTCGTCTCATCGTTAAACCACAATCCAGTATCATTTTCCGTTGTTCCATTCCTGTCGTCATTACCAATTTTTGCACTTCTTGTTCGAACGCCTTCTTGAACAGCCAAGTCTTTAATTTCCTGCGGAATATCATCAGGGAAGGAGCCAGTCTGATGTCCACGGGAAGGGCGTTCCACAGCTGAGGAGCCACCACCATACTACTAATAATATTTTATAATTATATATTTTATATTACATGTAATATTACTAATAATATTACAATATAATGGTATAGTACAATATAGTAATATATAAATACTGATATTATACCATTTATTTATTTATTATTTATTTATTTGGGGTTCTTTTACCCCGCCCTTCTCACCCCGAAGGGGACTCAGGGCGGCTTACAAAAGCAAGGCACAATTTGATGCCTGCATCATAAAAACAATCAAACACAAAATTACATCAATACACAGTTAACACCAAATATACATTATAACCATAAAATCAATAAAACCAAATACAAACCCAGTTTCTCCTCTTACATGGTCAGCGTTCGCTACTCATAGATCTAGTTTTACGTTCCACTTCATCAATCCTGCTGGTCTTACTCTCCTGGTTGTCTGATTTAATTGCCGGAGTGCCCAAAGGCCTGGTCCCATAACCAAGTCTTCACCCTTCTCCTAAAGGCGAGGAGGGATGATGATGCCCTGATTTCCCCCGGGAGTGAGTTCCACAGGTGAGGGGCCACCACTGAGAAAGCCCTGCTCCTCGTCCCCACCAGCCTCACTTGTGACAGTGGTGGGGTCGAGAGCAGGGCCTCCCCAGATGATCTCAGACTCCGAGGTGGGACGTAGAGGGAGATACGTTCGGACAGATACACTGGACCGGAACCGTACAGGGTTTTGTAGGTCAAAACCAGCACCTTGAATTGTGCTCGGAACTGAATCGGCAGCCAGTGGAGCTGGCACAGCAGGGGGGTGGTATGCTCCCTGTATGTCGCTCCGGTGAGCAATCTGGCTGCCGCTCGCTGGACTAGTTGAAGTTTCCGAACAGTCTTCAAGGGCAACCCCACGTAGAGCGCATTGCAGTAGTCTATTCGGGATGTAACAAGAGTGTGGACCACCATGGCTTATAATATAATATAAGGTTGTGGACACCATGGTGTGCCAGTTGTTAGCCGCCCTTAGTCCCTCTGCGGAGGTCGAGATAGGACGGGATACAAGTGCCTGGAATAAATAAATAATATATATATATCTTCGGGGTGAGAAGATAAATGTCGCAAATAAATAAATAAATGGAAGGAAGGAGTTTCCACCAGACTCCGAGGCAGAGAACATGCCCCCCACTGCACAAGTGCTCCACCAAAAGAAAGCATAGCAGAGGATGACAAAGGGGTTCACCTGTCAGCCAACACTCAGCCATATAAAATACTCATGCAGTATATTGTTGAAGGCATTAATGGCCAGAATCACTGGGTTGTTGTAAGCTTTTTGAGCTGTATGGCCATGTTCCAGAAGCATTCACACCTACTTCCAATAGATGAGGGTTCTTTCTCCCACCAATATCCATGCCATGCGCTGTCCCAAGTCCAACTTGACTTTCTGATGCTCTTCACCTTATCTCTCAGTTGAAGTTTTATCCCACTGTTAGTCCGTCCGAGCCCCCTCACAAATCATAGCACTTCTGCCTACCTCACCTATGGGTTTTATCAATTTCTACCCACTTTTAGTCATGGGCCTTGCTCTCGTTGTCTAATTCTATTACCATTTTATTTGCTTTTATCATGACGTTGTTATTTTTATTTTACCATGTTATTACCAAAAGCGAGGCGGAGCTAGGAGCCTTCTAATCAAGGTGAAAGAAGAAAGTGCTAAAGCTGGGTTGTGGTTAAACATTAAAAAAACCTTAAGATTCTGGCAATTGGACTGATTGATAACTGGCAAATAGAGGAAGAAAACGTGGAGGCAGTGACAGACTTTGTATTTCTAGGTGCAAGATTATTGCAGGCGTAGACTGCAGCCAGGAAATTAGGAGACACTTACTTCTTGGGAGGAGAGCAATGACCAATCTTGATAAAATAGGAAGCCTTATACTTACTTACTTAGGCGATCCCTCGTTGGCCGAGTAGGATAGTCTTCCAGGATCAGTATTCTTGTGGGTCCGTAGGTGACTGTGGAGCCCTATTCTTGATCTGCATCTTCTCCCACAGTGAGGGCATTGGTTTCCAGGTGGAAGGTGGTCTCGGTCGGGGTTGGCTTGACGCGCCTTCCTCTTGGCACGTTTCTCTCTTTCACCCTCCATTCGTGCCTCTTCAAATTCTGCAGCACTGCTGGTCACAGCTGACCTCCAGCTGGAGCACTCAAGGGCCAGGGCTTCCCAGTTCTCAGTGTCTATGCCAGAGTTTTTAAGGTTGGCTTTGAGCCCATCTTTAAATCTCTTTTCCTGCCCACCAACATTCCGTTTTCCATTCTTGAGTTCGGAGTAGAGCAACTGCTTTGGGAGACGGTGGTCAGGCATCCGGACGTGACCGGTCCAGCGGAGTTGATGTTGGAGGACCATCGCTTCAATGCTGGTGGTCTTTGCTTCTTCCAGCACGCTGACGTTTGTCCACTTGTCTTCCCAAGAGATTTGCAGGATTTTCCGGAGGCAGCGCTGATGGAATCGTTCCAGGAGTTGCATGTGACGTCTGTAGACAGTCCACGTTTCGCAGGCATAGAGCAGGGTTGGGAGGACAATAGCTTTATAAACAAGCACCTTGGTATCCCTACGGATGTCCCGGTCCTCAAACACTCTCTGCTTCATTCGGGAAAATGATGAAGAGTAGAGACATCACTCTTCTCATCACAAGATTCACAAAGTTAAAGCAATGCTATTCCCCATAGTCACCTACAGATGTGAGAGCTGGACCATAAGGAAGGCTGAGCGAAGGAAGAGAGGCGCTTTTGAACGGTGGTGCTGGAGGAAAATGCTGAGAGTGCCTTGGACCGCAAGAAGATCCAACCAGTCCATCCTCCAGGAAATAAAGCCCGGCTGCTCATTGGAGGAAGGATACTAGAGACAGAGTTGAAGTACTTTGGCCACATCATGAGGAGACAGCAAAACCTAGAGAAGACAATTATGCTGGGGAAAGTGGAAGAAAAGGAAGAGGGGCCGACCAAGGGCAAGATGGATGGATGGCATCCTTGAAGTGACTGGCTTGACTCTGAAGGAGCTGGGGTGGTGACGGCCAACAGGGAGCTCTGGCGTGGGCTGGTCCATGAGGTCACGAAGAGTCGGAAGCGACTGAATGAATAAACAACAAATTACCAAGTATTTTTGATGTTATTGTCTTTATAGGTATTTTTGCTCCATTTAAATTTCTTTTGGGCTTGGCCTCATGTTAGCCGCCCTGAGACCCTTTGGAGAATCATAGAATCAAAGAGTTGGAAGAGACCTCATGGGCCATCCAGTCCAACCCCATTCTGCCAAGAAGTAGGAATATTGCATTCAAAGCACCCCCGACAGATGGCCATCCAGCCTCTGTTTCAAAGCTTCCAAAGAAGGAGCCTCCACCACACTCCGGGGCAGAGAGTTCCACTGCTGAACGGCTCTCACAGTCAGGAAGTTCTTCCTCATGTTCAGATGGAATCTCCTCTCTTGTAGTTTGAAGCCATTGTTCCTTGGTGGCGGGGATTTTTTTTTTTTTATTTTATTTTGTCGTGTCAGGAGCATCCTGTTGTGAGAGAATTGGCCGTCTGCAAGGACGTTGCCCAGGGGACACCTGGATGATTTTGATGTTTTTATCATCCTTGTGGGAGGCTTCTCTCATGTCCCCGCATGAGGAGCTGGAGCTGATAGAGGGAGCTCATCCGCCTCTCCCCGGATACGAACCTGTGACCTGTCGGTCTTCAGTCCGGTGGCGGGGTATAAATAGAGCATTATTATTATTATTATTTGGACTTTCCACAGATATATTAACCCCATTTTCCTAGTTTCCGAGAACCCTCCCAACCTCTGAGGATGCCTGCCACAGATGCAGGCGAAACGTCAGGAGAGAATGCTTCTGGAACATGGCCGTACAGCACGAAAAACTTACAACAACCTGCTCATGCAGTAGTAATCTTATTTCTCTCTTGATTGAAATATTGAATGGAAGTGATGTTTTTTTGTGTGTGTGTCTGGAGCGACTTGAGAAACTGCAAGTCGCTTCTGGTGTGAGAGAATTGGCCGCCTGCAAGGATCATGCCCAGGGGACATTTCCCGTATGTTTTGATGTTTTACCATCCTTATAGGAAGCTTCTCTCATGTCCCTGCACAGGGAGCTGGAGCTGACAGAGGGAGCTCACCCACGCTCTCCCCAGATTCGAACCTGAGACCTGTTGGGTCTTCAGTCCTGACAACCAGTGAAAGAGGAATTCCTAGAGGGGAAAGGAGGAAGGAACGAGGGGCCTCCCACTCTCACAGCCAGTGAAGAGCTCGTGTCCCTTCCTAGAGAGGCACCGGAAGAAGCTTCCGAGTCCTCCGAGGTGGGGAGTCAGTCCTCCAGGGCAGAAGGAGCAGGGCCTCAGGCCGGGAGGCGGTAAGGAGGAGGACTCGGGCCCCCTTTATCATTCAGCAAAGGCTCTGGAGGCTCCCTGGGGCCGGGCAAGGGCCCCCTGCCCTCTCTGCCTCCTTCTTAGGAGGAGGGGGCTGCCTTCTCAGCCTCATCTGCAGTCCCTGTGTCCCTCTCTCTCTCATGGGGAAGAAGCCCCCCCCCCTTTTTGGCCTTGGCCTCAGGCAGCTGAATCTCTTGGGCGAGAGAGAGAGAGCAGTGGGACCTGAAGGGAGGGAGGGAAGAAGGAAGGAAGGAAGAATAGAAGGGAGGAAGAGGAAGGAGGAGAAGGGGAAGAAGGAAGTGAAGGAGGGGGAAAGAAAGAAGGGAGGATGGAAGGGAGGGAGGGAGGAAGGATGGGAGGGAGGGAGGGAGGGGGGAGGAAGAAGGGGGGGGAGGGAGGAAGAGGAGGAAGGGAGGGAGGGAAGATGGAAGGGAGGGAGGATGGAAGGGAATGAGTAAGGATGGAAGGGAGGGAGGAAGAAGAGAAGGAAGGAAGGAGGGAGGGAAGATGGGAGGGAGGGAGGGAGGAATAATGGAAGGATGGGAAGGAGGGAGGGAGGATGGGAGGGAGGGAGGAAGAATAGAAGGAAGGAAGGAGGGAAGAGGGGAGGGAGGGAGGAATAATGGAAGGATGGGAAAGGGAGGGAGATGGAAGGAGGGAGGAAGAAGAGAAGGAAGAAGAGGAAGAAGGGAGGAGAAAAGGTTGGAAGAGGGGGAAGGATGAAGAGGAGAAGATAGAAGGAAGGAGTTGTAGGAGGGAAAGGATGGGAGGGACAATGAGAAAGGGAACAGTTAGCAATAGAAGGAAGGAATGTAAGGGAGGAAAGGAAAGAGGTTTACATGGGAGAGCGAATCTGGAAGGTTGGGAGTACGGTAATGAAGGATTGGCGAAGGGACATTTATTCCTGTGGAGATTATTGCCGATGGTGCACCTGAAGGTGAGATGGAATCAAGATCAAAGAGCTGGAGAGGACCCGTCATTGCATCCAGTCCAAAACCCAGTATCTGCCAAGAAGCGTGATATTGCATTCAAAAATACCCCTTTACATGGAGGAAGGATGTAGGGAGGGAGTGAGGGAGGGTTGAAAGAAGGAATTAATGGCGGAGGGCAATGAAGTAAGTTTAGGGAGGGAATAAGGATGGATGGGAGTAAGGAGGGAAAAAATAGAAAGATTTCTTTAGTCGACTTGAAATTTGCCTTCATTACGGAGTATTGACGTTGACGTCGTCATCATATACTGTTGCAGGTCCTATATTTCTTTAAATATTTTATTATTCAGAACTCAACTTATTATGATTGATTGTCTGGAGGATTCGGTTATGGATTGTGGCAGTTATTACTGAAAGAATGTTAATGCTGTCTTAATAGCTGTACGTGCCCACGGTCAGTGTCTGTTGCTTATTCGTTCGTGGAAGTGATGTGGACATGTGTGTGACTGGCGGGAGATAGTAAGAAGAGGTGAGGAATGAAACTGCTCTGGCAGTGGGGTCGGAAGACTGGGATTGGACTGTGGCTTTAAGCAATATAGAGGAAGAATGGGAAGGGGGGGAGGAAGGATGGGAGGGCAGTTGAGAGGTAGGAAGGGAGGAAGAATAGAAGGAAGGATGGGAGGAAGGATGGAAGGGAGGAAGGAAGAATGGAAGGAAGACAAGGAGGGAGAGAGGAAGGGAGAGAGGGACCCAGAGCAATGTGTTCAAATTATAGGAAAGGAGATTTCTCCTGAACACTAGGAAGAACTTCTTAACTGTAAGTAGAGTTACTCAGCATTGGAACTTTCTGCCTTGGAGTGTAGTAGGAGTTCCTTCTTTGGAGGTGTTTATACAGAGGCTGGATGTCATGGTTGTTTTGGGTGTGTTTTTTCTTGGAATCATAGAGTTGGAAAAGACCTCATGGATCATCCAGTCCAACCCCATTCTGCCAAGAAGCAGGGAAATCGCATCCAGACCCTTGATCATTTTAGTCGCCCTCCTCTGGACACATTCCAGCTTGTCAATATCTCTCTTCAATTGTGGTGCCCAGAATTGCACAACGTGTGATTCCAGGTGTGGTCTCACCAAGGCAGAATAGAGGGGAGCATTACTTCCCTAGATCTAGACACTAGGCTCCTATTGATGCAGGCCAAAATCCCATTGGTTTTTTTTTTGCTGCCACATCACATTGCTGGCTCATGTTTAACTTGTTGTCTACGAGGACTCCAAGATCCTTTTCACACATACTGCTCTCGGGGAAGGGGAGGGGGGGGGGCTGGACTAGATGACCCTTGTGGTCTCTTCTAACTCTGTGATTCTATGAGGGGAAAGGGATGGGGCGCCATGAGAGACTCTCCTCTTCCTCCTTCTCTTTGGCCTCCTTGCTTCCTATACCTTCCTCCTCCTTCCCAGCCTCCGCTGCCTCTGTCTCTCTCACAGGGATTGGGAAGAGCTGCCCCTTGGCCTCAGACAGTGGAAGGCTTTCCATGGGAGCTGTGGGGCCGGAAGAGGGTGGGAGAGACTACAGAGACAGAGGCCTCACCGCCTTCCCCCAGAGGACCTGCATGGGAAAGGATGGGGAGGGATTCTCAAAGAGGAGAGAAAGAGCAGAGAGTATTCACATGAACTTATTCATCTTGTTTTGTTTGCAGGCCCCACCAGTTCTCCCAGTCCTCCCACTTTGAATGTCATCAGAGGGAAGAGGTGGAAATATCTGCACCCAGTTTGGAGGCAGCCTAGAAGTACAGAGCAAAGATGGAAGGGCCAGAGCCAGCTGTCACCCAGTTAGAATTATTTTCTTCCGCTGTTAAGGGAGAGAACAATAGAGCACTCTGGGAGGACCCTTGGAGGAAAGACCAGGAGAGCAATTTGCTCCATTCAGATCTTCAGTGCCAGCGCTTCCGGCATTTTTGTTATGAGGAGACATTGGGGCCCCGAGAGGTTTGCAGCCGCCTCCACTCTCTCTGCCGCCTGTGGCTGAAGCCCGAGCGACACTCCAAGGCGGAGATGCTGGACCTGGTGATCCTGGAGCAGTTCCTGGCCATTCTTCCTGCAGAGATGGAGCGCTGGGTGAGGGAATGTGGGGCAGAGACCAGTTCCCAGGCCGTGGCCTTGGCTGAAGGATTCCTCCTGAGTCTGGAAGAGAAGAGGAAGCCGGAGAAGCCCCAGGTGAGAGAGAGAGAGGGTCATCTTGTAGTTTCAAGCATCCAGGAATAATTGTTTTGAAGGATTTAGTTTCGGGTAGCTAATTTTAAGAATAACACAAACATGGTGGAATGAGTTCAAAGAAGAATTAGGAAAGGAGGACCCAGGTGTGTTCACCCCGGAAAAGGGACTTGGGATGCCCCCTTTGCATTCCTCAAGGGCTCTCACGGAGAGGAGGGGGCAGTCACCTCCATTCCCCAGGGTGGTATAACCAGGTATAAGGATCTGAAGTTATAGGATGGTAAACTCTGAAGATTAAAGGGAACTTACTGAGAATTCCAGCGGTGTATATTTCAGAGGAAGCAACTGGCCGAACCACTTCTGAATATTCTTTTCCTAGGAAACTGTCTGATTTGAATGCAATATTCCTGCTTCTTGGCAGAATGGGGTTGGACTGGATGGCCCATGAGGTCTCTTCCAACTCTTTGATTCTATGAATGTTATTCACAGTTAATGTTAACACAACATGGACCTGAAAGCACAGACAGGCAGACAGGTTACTCAGCCTGAAAGCCCCTCTAGGGTCGCCCCAAATTAAACCCCGGGATTACGTAAAGTTCTTCCTTCATCTCAGCAGTAGCCCTTCCACTTCAGATCAAGTCCTGCAGCAGACTGCAATGCCCAAATGCAGGCAGAATTCCCACCCCAAAATCAAGGAAAAGCAGATTCTTCTACAGAATGAAGAAAAACAGTCTTGTGTCCCAATGACAATCTGGAACAGGTGGCAGAAAGAGAGCCCTCCCTCCTTTTCTAATCTGTCTTTTCCCTTGTGATCCGTACTGCTTGTTCAGGTGGAGGACTCTTTTCCAGATGAGACCAGTCAGGTGGAGGATTCAGACATTTGGGTCGTCCAGATTGGAGAAGACGGAGAATATATTGTAGATGGTAAGGGACGGTGATGGTCCTTCTTGCTTGCTCACCTCCTCTTGAGTAGACCTGAAATGTCTGAGCTGTGTGAACTGGGGAAAAAGTGGGGGAGCTTAAGAATGCTGCCGACAGGAGACATTTCTTTTTTGTGCCACTTTTGTACAATACTTTTTTGTGCCACTTTCAAAGTTACTTGATTCCTTTTCTTCTCTCTGGATGTTTGAGATGGTGAATATGCTCTTGGCTACATTGGCACAAATACAGAAACGAATACAGTCAGCCCTCTATCTTTGCTGGGGTTAGGTTGCAACACCCCTATTTAACAAAATAGTCCACGTTGAAGTCCTGGGACCAAAATCCAAGGAGGGAGTTTGAAAGAGGGCCCTGGGGCAAGGGGAGGGTGGCAGGCTTCCGAGGGAAGAAACTGTGGGGCAAACTGGAATCTCGCCCTCCCTGATGTCTTTCCTCTCCTTCACAGACAATGAAACATGGCCAAGTGACAGTAGCACACCTTTTCATGACTCTTTCCTAAGAAGACATTCTTTGGGACCAGATCAGGTAGGCAACAGGATCCCTGGAGGGGAGGGGATAGTCAAGTCTCCTTCTCCCTTGGATATTGCCCTGACTCTAAATGAACCTCTTTTGTCTACATTACTTCCATTCAAAATGTTTTCAGTGAACGACTTATTCAAAGTCAGAAATCACAAATTGCCTGGGGTTTTTCCCCCCACTTGGTTGGCATTTTCTCCTCGCAAATCACATTTTTTTCCCCTTCAGGTGACTTTTGAAGACGTGTCTGTGGATTTCTCAGAGGAGGAGTGGGCCCTCTTGGATCCAAGCCAAAAAGTCTTGCACCAACAAGTCATGGAAGAGAATTTAGGGATCGTCTCATCTCTGGGTAAAGCTCCATTCTGCTTGTGGTTAACCAAATCAGTTTACAAGTTCTAAAAATCACCCAGTGTTTCAGCGTTCTTCCTCTGAAGCCATAAAAAAACAAGCTCATTCCATATCTCACATGGGGGGCAGCCTAAGAAGACAATTGTCACTTGGCTGGAATTGCCACATTAGATAATTCTAGGCTATTTTCCATCCACCAACCATGCTTGGGATGGTGGTGGGAGTGAAACAAGGGCTTCACTTGAGGATTTTAGCGCCCAGGTAGGTTTGAACAAGGAGATACAATCAATCAAAAACCTGGACTTGAGCCATTTAGGTCTTTATAGGTCATAACCTGCAATTTGAATTGTGCTGGAAACTAATTTGAAGCAGTAGAGCCATGGCAACAAATAATAATAATAATAATAATAATAATAATAATAATAATAATAATAATAATAATAATAGTTGTTATTATTATTATTATTATTATTATTATTATTATTATTATTCCTGCAAAGACTGGCACAAGAACAGTCAAGGTGGTCCCAGTGGTGATCGGCACACTGGGTGCAGTGCCTAAAGACCTTGGCATGCACTTAAACACAATTGGCACTCACAAAACTACCATCTGCCAGCTGCAGAAGCCCACCTTACTGGGATCTGTACGCATTACTCGCTGGTACATCACACAGTCCTAGACACTTGGGAAGTGTCCGACGTGTGATCCAATACAACAGCCAGCAGAGTGTCTGCTGTGGACTCATCTTGTTGTGTTTGAAATAATAATAATAATAATAATAATAATAATAATAATAATAATAATTTTATTTCTTACCTACTTCACAGCACAAGGTGGGTTACAACATTGGTAAAAGACATAATCAAAACACATAATAATTTTAAAACACTCTGTAAAATACAGATTCCACACCAAGTCCAGGGAGTGTCCCCCAAACTGCGAACCTGTGTCTTCAGTGGTAATGTAACCCCATCCAGCACAGGCTGAATCCCTATTCCCTTACCTGCCTTCTGACCTACCAATAGCACCTCTGCCTACTCTGGATTAAGTTTCAGTTTGCCCCTCTCCAGCCCATTGCTGGGGAGAGAGATTGGTTTAGTTGGAAAGGAGGAGTAGAGCAGTTCTATCAAACAATTTAGGAGCCTTTGCAGTCCATACATACACACTTTGATTTATGTATATATTGATTTCTTCATACACCAAAAAGTAATACAATAAATAACAGTCCATGCTTGTGAAGCTAATGATATAAAACAGGTTTTGCCTCATGCCTGTACTAATTCCAAAGTAGAGAAATTCAAAGGTAGGAAGCCGTCGGGGATTAAAATGGGAGAAATATTTTTTAATAATACTAATAAGTGTAAAGAGTTTATTTCTGCTGTTCAGGAAGTCGCCGTAAAGCCTCTCCGTGACAGCTCGGGGTCAGCAGGGCTGTTGGTGGAACAATTTGAGAGCAGCTGAATGGACTAACTTTTCTCATGGGGAAAACTGATAAGGACGATGGAAGTGTGGAATGAGATTGGAAAGAAAGGCGAGGGGGGGGGGGTATTAGCATTTTTTTTCTTGAGCTATAGAGGTGTGAATAATAAAACCGAATCCAAAAGATTTTTGTGAGTGGCCCAAGCTGCTAATTAAATCCTGCAGGGAATGACAAAACAGAGGGAGAATGTCAAACTCCAGATTTGTACAGCTAAAATTAATCCTTTTTCTAATGGCAACTGTATTCTGGCTTCTCATTGAAATTTTGACGTTTGTTCTGCTGCCTGATGCCATTAAGTTACGTTCATCTACCTTTGTGGCATCAGGCAGATCAAGGGTTTTTACCTTGTATTGTCGAAGGCTTTCATGGCCGGAATCACTGGGTTGTTGTAGGTTTTTCGGGTTGTATGGCCATGTTCTAGAAGCATTCTCTCCTGACGTTTTGCCTGCATCTGTGGCAGGCATCCTCACAACCTCTAGGATAGTGTTTCTCAACCGGGGGTTGGGACCCCTGGGGGAGGGTCACGAGGGAGTGTCAGAGGGGTCACCAAAGACCATCAGAAAACACAGTACTGTATTTTCTGTTGGTCATGGGGTTTTTTGTGGGAAGTTTGGTACAATGCTATCGTTGGTGGGGTTCAGAATGCTCTTTGATTGTAGGTGAACTATAAATCCCAGAAACTACAGCTCCCAAATGTCAAGGTCTATCTTCCCCAAAAACTCCACCAGTGTTCACAATTCTGCATACGGAGTATTTGTGCCAAGTTTGGTCCAGATTCATCATTGCTCTCTGTGCTCTCTGGATGTAGGTGAACTACAACTCCCAAACTCAAGTTCAATGCCCACCAGACCCTTCCAGTATTTTCTGTTGGTCATGGAAGTTCTGTTTGCCAAGTTTGGTTCAATTCCATCTTTGGTGGAGTTCAGAATTCTCTTTGATTGTAGGTGAACTATATATCCCAGCAACTGCAACTCCCAAATTACAAATTCAACCCCTCCCCAAACCCCACGAGTATACAGATTTGGGTGTATCGGATATTTGTGCCAAGTTTGGTCCAGTGTCTGAAAATTTATTTTATTTATTTATTTACTATATTTATATACCGCTTTTCTCAGCCCACGGGCGACTCAAAGCAGAAAATACATCCTGCATATCAGATATTTACATCACGATTCATAACAGTGGCAAAATTACAGTTATGAAGTAGCAAAGAAAATAATTTTATGGTTGGGGGTCATCACAACACGAGAAACTATATTTAAGGGGTCGTGGCATTAGTAAGGTTGAGAAACACTGCTCTAGGATGATTGCCACAAAATGCAAGCGAAATGTCACGAGAGAATGCTTCTAGAACATGGCCATACAACCCAAAAAACCTACAACAACCTGATTTTTGCCTTTCTTGTGCCAGAAGTACAAGGGATTCCAGAGAAACCAGGGCTAAAGAAAACACCTCTATTTCCCCCAGTCCTGGTTGAGTTATGATTTACTTTGAGGCTTATATCTTGGTATAATATTTAGGGGATTTCTCTTAACTGCCAGTGTTGGGAAGGGCTGTCTCAACTAAATGCATTTTGTAATTTGTATACTTTTTAACATTGTTCTAATATAACTTTTTTCTCTTCAACACATGGCCTCACTTCCCTTGTTCTCAAACCATGTGAATAGCGGAAGCATCATTTAAATATTTGGAAGATGGAATGAATTTCTATTGGAACGAAGCGCACATATTTTCTCAAGAAACTCACACAAGGGATAAACCATTTGAATGCTTGGAGTGTGGAAAGAACTTCCATCACAAATCAGACCTTCTTCGTCACCAGGCAACTCACACAGGAGAGAGACCGTTTCAGTGCTTGGAGTGTGGAAAGAACTTCAGTCACAAGAGAAACCTTATTTGTCATCAGGGAACTCACACAGGAGAGAAACCATTTACATGCTTGGAGTGTGGAAAAAGCTTCTCTCAGAAGTTCGGCCTCCTTCGTCATCAGGCAGCTCACAGAGGAGAGAGACCATTTAAATGTTCGGAATGTGAAAAGAGTTTTAGTCAAAATCGAAACCTTATTCGTCACCAGGCAACTCACACTGGAGAAAAGCCATTTAAATGTCTGGAGTGTGGGAAGAACTTCAGTCAGAAGGCAAGCCTTGTTTATCACCAGCAAGCTCACATAGGAGAGAGACCATTTAAATGCTCGGAGTGTGGAAAGAATTTCAGTCATAACGCAGCCCTTGTTTACCATCAGAGAATTCACACAGGAGAAAAGCCATTTACATGCTCCGAGTGTGGAAAGAGCTTCAGTCATAAGGGAGGCCTTGTTCGGCATCAGGCAACTCACACAAGGGAAAAGCCATTTAAATGCCCAGAGTGTGGAAAGAGCTTCAGTCAAAAGGCAAACCTTATTCGTCACCAAGCAACTCACACAAGAAAAAAGTCATTTTCACTTTTGAAAAAAGATGTACCTTTAGAGCTTGAATTGAAAAATACGTCTTGCTTGTCATGAGGCAACTCACACAGGAGAAAAGCCATTTAAATGCTCAGAGTGTGGAAAGAGCTTCAGTCAGAAATCCCACCTTGTTCGTCATCAGGCAACTCACAGCAGAGAAAAACCAGAGTGTGGAAAGAGATGGAGTTGAAATACAAGCCTTCTTTTTTAAGAAATACTCAACTCATGGGGTAAAGGCAATTTCCCTTGTTTTACATCAGAAGGGGCATGAATCGCTGTCATAGAAACACTGAATTTTAAAGCTATGGCTTTTGGGGAAAATATTAACCTGATCAATTTTCTTTTATGAAATATCTCATTAAACATAAGCGATAATATTTTGAGAGCCAAAGGAAGGATATTTCATGGTTTTTTTCCCCATCCATTCATGCAACTATTTCCTGCTATGTATATTCAGGGTTAAAAATACATTTAAATGACAAGTTTGATAAGAAGTGTGGGAATGGGTTTGATTAATGACTAACAGCCCTGTGTGTCATATAGTTCTATATATGTGGGACTGGGTTTCCTTTTATGAAATATCTAATAAAGCATAACTGATATATTTCTTGTCCTATCTGTAACGTAGAAATAATAGAAAATATATTACAGTTGTGTGTATATATACAATCTCAAAAAAACATGTTTTCTAAAATAAGTGAGAATTCATCTAGTTTTTAGCCTGAAGAAAAGGCGTGTTTCAAATTCTGAGTCTCTTCTGTATATTGTGATATTAATGGAATAATTTTGCATTGAGTCTGTTTGCTAAGGTCTAAACAAAAGAAGGATGTGATTTACCAAGTTTACAGTGGCGGCTTCAATTACAGACAATTTGTATAAAATTTGTATAAAATAGGTGTTACACAACCCCAGCTCTTCCTAGCTAAAATAGATAATCAGGATTTTGTTGGAGGTCTTTTTGTGTGTGTGTGTCAGGAGCGACTTGAGAAACTGCAAGTCGCTTCTGGTGTGAGAGTATCGTTCCTCTGCAAGGACATTGCCCAGGGGACGTTTGATGTTTTACCATCCTTGTGGGAGTCGTTTCTCATGTTCCCACATAAGGAACTGGAGCTGACAGAGGGAGCTC